TACAATTCCTTTGAAAATACATCAAATATGCATATATGTTTATCTGTTGTGGTTTTTTTTTCCTTCTCTGTATTATATCTGCACTTCCTAATAAGAGTACACAGCTAATAGTGTTGACTATTAAAAGTCTTTGGCCACCAAAAGCCAAAGTTGCCATCCTGGTCAACTGTTGTATAATATGGGAACGCATTTCACTTTTTTGTTGTTCTGAATTAAATTCTTTTCCCAGACTGAGAGTGCTACCCTTCTCTATAGTAGATTCATAGAGATTATTAAATAGATAGTTCAGGGTAAAGATCAAAAGAAAAATCAAATTAGCATATAAGATGAGATATAGGAACTATATCACAATATTCTAGTGAAGAATTTTACTTTGGTGCCTAATTGTGACATCACTGCTGAAGTTCAATATCTTGCACTTAATGGAGAAGAAAAATAAATCACATCAACCGAACAGGTACATAATTATCAGTGTAATTGTTCTTAGACCACATATGAAGTGCAATTCACAGAAAGGGAAACTATAGCTCTTCTTAATATTTGTTCGTTTTCAAGGACTCATGTTTTTACACGTGCGACATACCTGCAAAAAGGGGTATGGCGTGTGCCAGGTCATGGTCACTGTTTTTTGATATCATTGATCTCTCTTGTGGACACCCTGGGATGCAATCTTTGGAAACGGCAGTAGACCTGTTTTAAATAAGGGTTTAGTATTCCTTTGAAACAGAGCTAGACTTGTGATTAAAAAACCAAGGTTGTTGCACCAAAGATTGATTTAAATCCAAAAAGTGAGCCAGGTATGTGTGCTGCACCACTGTCATTCCCATGGGGATTTCTAAAATATTCCTTCCAACATTCCCTCACTTCAGTTTTGTCACGAATCATTTTCATTACGTTTTTTTTAAAAAAAAAAATCCATTGGCTGTATTGGACACCCCTTGTTTAATCCTCTTTATCCACTTCCAAAACATTTTTTTCTTTTCTAGAAAAATCACTGCCTTTTTAAAGTTACAAATAGTAATACATTTTACTTTGTTCCAAAGAAGAAACACCTTTTCTTTGTTTGTTTCTAGTTTCTGTTCATTCTATTGGAAGAGGAATCGATCTTCTATTTTTTTTTTTTTCATTTAGGACATGTACTTTTTCTTGCACTTATTTCTTAGATTTTTTTTTCTATGTTAACTTTTCCTCAGATCTACCCATGATACATACTATAAAAATGGTGCATATCCCACATCCATAATCTGTCATCTCTGTCTTGCATGCTTCACTAATTTGTTGATTCTTTCATTATAAACAACCCACTATGCTTTTAGATTGAGATTCTTTTCTTTGTCATAAGTGCATAGGCCTCCATTTCTAATTAAAATGATGCCAAAATGATGAAGCATTCATCGCTTCATCATGACACACAGGCCAACCCATTTGTATGTTTGCAACAAGAATATAAGAGGCAGAGTTTGTATCACAATCCCCTAAAGTATATTTTCTCATTTGCTTCTCCTTATCCACCTAGAGATAATTATGGTTTTCTACATGAGTGTTTATGCTTAAATCACATACTCAAAATAAGTAGACCTTTTTGCAACGTGTCATTGGGCACCGTAGCATTTATTCCTGAATCTCTAAGTAGCCTAATTAATTTTAATATACTTGTTCATCTCATTCTCATTCACCTACTGTATTCATGTCACGTAGTAGGATATTTTTTCCCTAGAATTACATTTATTCAGAATGTTACCATTTTCCCCAAGCTCATCTCTGGTTCTTCCATTAACACTATTCACTGAAGTGCACATACAATTATCACCAGCCAATGGATTTCTATTTCCACATGCACTCACAGCACCCTGGATGATACCAATTTATTTTTTCCTGACGTATACTTTAGGTTTCTCATTCATAATTAAATCACTCATTTCATTCTGTAGCAAGCATTCATTAACTCCATTCCACAAGATCAGACTATAGTCATTCAAATTTATTATCTTTCTCCTGATTTCCCATACAGCATATCTATACAGTTTATTTCATTTCACTTCATTCCATTCCATTTTATTTCATTAATTATGTTTTCATCATTTATCCTCTTACATTTCTAAATCCACCCTTATTGTCAAGACAACTCAGCTGCCAATAAAACAATAAGTTCCAATCAGAGAGCAGTAAATGGGTGGCAAGGAGCAGGGCAGGGATAAGATGCTGTCACGGAGTTCTACTTACAGATGCACAATGAATAGCCTGAATAAACAGGGGCAAAGCTCCTGAGTCAAAATAAAGAATCCAACTAAAGGATGCACAGCTTTGCATAGAAAGAGGCAAAAGCTGAGAAAACTGAGAAGGGAGAGAAATCTTTTTGTTTTTCTTTCCTTAGACCTGGCATGAATAAAAAATTCTTCTAGCCATTTTCCTCAGCAGGAGAAAGTCTCTAGAACAGAAGAGTCAAAAAACTTAACTAGGAACAAAGAAGCAGAAAAAGTGGAGAAAAAAGTAGAGTTTGATAAAACAAAAATATGAAAAAGGAACTAAAAAAAGATAGATTGAATTCTGAAGAAAAGTATGGCTCTATAGAGGATGGTGATAGACAGACAGACAGACAGACAGATAGATAGATAGATAGATAGATAGATAGATAGATAGCATTTATAATTTACAGTACTTATTTTTTTCTTTTTTCAAATAAAAGCCTGTCACAGCCATTCATTGAAGGGAGACCCCCCCCCAAAAAAAAATTTTACTGACCCATTTATGCAACAAACTGAACTGAAGTCCAATTTACTGTAAGCATGTTCATGCTATTCTGTCCATTCTAGGATTTCTATGTTAGAAACTGTCTTTCAGGCCAGCACGGTGTAGGCTACATCTCACTGGTATGTGTAGTTCACTGACATATGACCTTTAGTCTTTCACCATAACAATAGATAGACAGACAAATTGGAACTTCTGAGGACTAATTTCCCATTAGATGTATTTTACTGCCAAGATATTTGAAATTATTACTTTCTTTTGTACCTACAGAATAGTTTTCAGTCTAAGACAAGTTTTACTTAATCATACATATATACACTGTGTGTGTTTGTGTGTTTTTTTTGTGTGTGTGTATGTGTGTGCACCATTGAAAATACTGAGTAGTCTGTCTGTTGACCTATCTTTCTGTCTATCTACTTAATCTTTATTTTATTTATTTATTACATTTTTATGCCACCCATCTTCCCTATAAGGTGACTCTGGGTAGATACCTTTACTCATTCATACATACTTTTTCTATTCATTTTTAATCAATAAAAAGAATCCCAAAGTGGAGTAGCTGTAAATTATTCTTTATTCAAAATAAGTTCAAAATATAACTAGATAAATTCTAGGTAAGAGAGGAGAAATTAAGTAATTCAGTTCATGGGGTTGTCATATTGAAAACTTATTTAATGTGAAAAAAGTCTAAGTACTGTACTCTATTTTGATTGAGACAGACATAAGGAACGCTAACATTAAATTGTTCTCTTTCACACTGTTAGAATGGTCAGGACGTATTAGATGCTAAAAGTAGGTAATTCAAGTAGATTATCCAACTTTCTGAATTTTTGTCTATCTTAGAACAGTACATAGCAGCAATAGTAGAAGTCAATTTTCACCTACTAGTACCTGCATCATTCAGGATTATTGTGATGTTTGAAATACTTCAGTTTCTTTTATCTTAAAAGACAAAGCTGTTGAAACAGGATGATAAATACTGGAAAGACTAAAACACCTATTTCCCAAATTGGTAATTAACAAGATTCCCATGTACAGAGTGCTCTGAAGAGTTTGGAATTGTATTATAACCTCTGAAAGAAATCAGAGAATAACATTCAGATGATTTCCTTAAGATTTATCAATTAAGTAACTCAAGTTGCCTCTAAGCAAAGTCAGTTTAAGAGAAAAATGCTGCACTGTATATAAAACAACTAAGTAAAAATATTATCAGAATATGAGAATCTGAATACTGCCTTAATATATTTTATTATATGTGAAATCATGTTTATAAACTGTTATTATGTTATTTTGCTCCCTTAATAGTATAAATTTCATGCGTCTAAATTTAATAGTCAAGTACATGATACTGATATAATACTTCAATTGTCCCTCAGTTTCTTTGTCACTTATCCCAAACACTTATCAATAAATCACCATCATTTGAGCAGATTGTAAGTGGGTTTTTTAAAGGATGTTTTCAACTTTGCCACTGGGCATTTTGCATGGCTCCATCCCACACCAGCAGTATATTTATGAATAAGCTTGAACAAATCATACGTATGATAACCACCTATAAGCACTTATGTGATTATGATGTTTTTGTAATTTTTGCCATCTGGACCATACCAAGTATCCATCACATCAGCAAATTAACTTGGAGTAAAGCTATCAGTTGCTACTGAATAAACATAATAATTAAAGATCAATTATTTAACTCATTTGATGATGCAAAAAGAAAAACATAATCACATTTGCCTTTTAAGCATGAAATTAATTGCAACATTAATATAAATTATCTCAGAAAAGCCCATGGATTTAAAGAGCATTTTTTCTTCAAAGGATATTCTTGACTATAAGATCTATGAGTATCTTTCTTATTCAGAGATTCCTTCTCAAAGACTACTCTTTGCTACTATCATTTGACAATTTCTAAATGCTGCTAAGTGATTTGGATAATTTAGATAATTTCTCCTAGGTTGGTTTTTAAATAGCACACCAAATAAAATTGAGCCTTAAGAATAATGTGATAAGAGTTTCTGTGAAAAATTCGGTAATCCCCAGATATTCAACTTAATCTAGAAATGCTAGAATTTGTCAGCATCAGCAGTGAACATTTTCTTTAAGAGGTGGGTACTATTAACCAATTATTTCCATTAATAATTAATATTTAACATTAAACATCAATAATCCAGTTCATCAGCTGTTGGCATGCTGACTGACTTTAAATGTCCCTGTCTGCATTAATATATTTTGTGATGTATTTTTTTCAGACATCATTGTTCTCATCGCTTCAATAGCAGTTGTTTCTGCAAAAACTCAGGGTAACATTTTTGCAACATCAGCACTCAGAAGTCTTCGTTTCCTACAGATTCTTCGTATGGTACGCATGGACCGAAGAGGAGGAACTTGGAAATTGTTAGGCTCAGTGGTTTATGCACATAGTAAGGTAGGGGCCCATCCATATATTTCATTTTAGTGAATATATTGAATGTATGCTACAAAAAAGAGAATTCCAAATTGAAATGAATGATCCAAATAACCTGCAATATTTTGATATGTGTTGAGCTTTCATGAGTGTGTGCATGCATGTGTAAATCTGTTATCCATCCATCACTCTTATCCATCCATCCCTTCTAACTTCAGAAAAGAATTATGGAACAAATTATTCATATTGAAAAACCTGTGTGGTCTTATATTTGGACTGCAATCTGTATGTTATAATAGAAATACTCTTTTGAAAGTTGCAATAATTTTTTTAAGATAATCTGAGATTTGTCATAGAAATAAGTTCTGCTGATTCAACAAAAATTTTTAAAAGCCCACTAGATACATCCAACGTCTGACCTAAATGAAGTAGTTTGAATTCTGAAGCCTTGGAACAGCATGATTAATTATATTTTTTAATTTAAGGGATACTTTGTATACTCAAGGAACTTTTCACATTTAACTAAAATGAACTCTGTTAATCTCTTATTCCAACAAATATATGAATTCAGATAAATTATCAGAAATGTTTATTTTTATTCTTATTTTATCTTACAGGAATTAATCACAGCTTGGTACATTGGATTTTTAGTACTTATTTTTTCATCCTTCCTTGTCTATCTGGTTGAAAAAGATGCAAATGCTCAGTTTTCTACATATGCAGATGCTCTGTGGTGGGGCACAGTAAGTACAAAATCAATCAAACTTTGTAATATAAACTAACTTCCCCAGTTTGGTGCCCTTTGGATTGAGACTGAAACTTGATAAATTTCCAAAAATGTCCACGGTTGGCTGAGAATTCTAGGAGGTTGCTGTCTTAATATATCTGGAGCATAGCAGATTGACGAAAGCAGATTTACGCTTTGCAGTATTTAATATTCTTTTAAATCTTATTAAATGAATGGATCTACTATAGTGTATCTTGGTAAAAGAGTCAATAATAGGGGGGGGGGTTGGTTGAAGGGGAGTTATATTGGGAGTTATATTTGGAGCTATATATTAGCTGTGACTTTAGCCAAATCCAAAACTATAGGAGTTAAAGAAAAAGTGCTTGAGATCTTGTTTGTTTGCTTTCTATTTCTGTCTCTCTCTTCCCCATTATCCATGTATCCTTTAATACTTCTTTGTCTGTGATTCATGCTCAAACTGATGTGCTCATATCCTTTCACCTAGACATAGATGTAAACAAAAATCTCTGCATTGTTAGAGAATTTCAAGCATATCCTTTTTTCTCTCTTTTCTATTTATTCATACACACATACCATGTTTCCCCGAAAATAAGACACAATCGGAAAATAAGCCCTAGCATGATTTTTCAGGATACTCGTAACATAAGCCCCACTCCAAAAATAAGGTCCAGTTAAGATAGTCAGCCAGAGGGATGCATTTAGTGCTGTATTTCCCCCAAAATAAGACCTAATGTGGCTTTTGGAGCAAAAATTAATATAAGACTCGGTCTTATTTTTTGGGGGGGTGGGGGAAATGGTATCTCTGATATATTTTTTCCCACCTATAGCTTCTCACTCAAACTACCGTCCTTCTTGCCCAGACACATAGTTTTTGTCTTCTTAACCAAATGTTTACATTCTTATTGAGTTCTTTTTTTCCATTAGTAAAATGTTTCTTTTTTATAGAGTCAGGGAAAAATCTTTTTAAAAAAATATATAATGGAAAATGAAAAGCAAATAAAAAAATAACTGAGGTGGCGTTCAGCTGGAGGTGCCTCAGCAAACACTCCAGTGTTTCAAGGACACAGCTGAAATCACACAGTTGTGGATGGGAGATACAATAAGTGATTGCCCTGAATATGATTGTTTCTATTGTTGTATAAGATCATAGCTGAAACTGACATAAGTAATTATGCAGCTTATGTTTCAAAATAACTATAGGTAGTCTTTGCTTAATCACAGTGATTGAGACCAGAAACTCTGACATGGTCTTATAGCGCATCATCACAATACTCTACTGACTTAAAACAGTAGGTGCAGCAGTTCCAGTTGTCATTGTTAAGCAAATTCCGTGGGATCGCTAAGTGCAACATCATGTGATTGCCATTTGTAACTTCCTGCTGGCTTCCCCATTGACTTTGCTAGTTGGAAGCTGGTAGTAAAGGTTGCAAATGGTGAACATAACACTGTGGGACATTGTGTCCATCATTATCGCAAGCTGGTTGCCAGATTTCCAAATCATGATCATATGACTGCAGGGATGCTGTGAAAGCCACAACCATGAGGACTGGTCCTAAGTCTCCTTCTTCAGTACCATCATAAAATTGATCGGTTGCTGAACACGTGATTGTTAAGTGAGGACTTCCTGTGTAAAAACTGTTTAGCTAGGCATTATAGAAACAGACAAATAGTAGCTCTGGAAAAAGATTTTGAAAGTTTTGTGTAGAAAAATAAGAATGCAAAGCCATTAGAGCTAACTCTCAAACCAGGATGATGAAAGGCTAGACTCTGAGCCATTACTTTTATCATAGCAGCAGTGTGAATTTGCAGCTATCATGACATTTGACTCTGAAGTCCTGCAATCCTCTAAAATATTGGTGTTGAAGCTGCAGTCTTCCGGACACTAACCCTAACTGTAGTAGCTGGGTTTGCTAACCACATTAGATCAGGCTAAAATGAAGTTCTGTAGGTTTTGGTACAACAGTTTATGTGACCCAGTGTTATTTTAGCATATTTTGTGAAACAAGTCATTAGGTTAAGATATAATAATTTATTTGTTTGAGTATAGCACTTTTTTTTTCTAAATCTGGCTTAAAATTTAATGTGTTCAATATTCCCAATTAATCAGTCCACAACAGGATTTAAAGAAACACACACACACACACACACACACAGAAACACACACCTGTAGGAACATTTGCCTTAATTTAACATACTTTCCCTTGTTTTGATCCATCCTCTGCCCTCAAAAAAAAACTTGGCCTAACTATTTCCATTTTTTTTGTGATTGAGCCTCATACTATAACTATATATATGATGGCAATAAATAGGAGAACAGGATCTCAGCTGCAAGATGGTACCAGCCATAACTAAGCACTGTCAGCTAATCAATCAGTCCTGGCCTATTGACCTTTGTACAACTCTTCCCTTAAAGATTGATCTTTAATCAAAATGATTTTCCCTGAGTATTGGATTTTAATTTAACAAATAGCCAATACATATTAGGAGACTGAGGATGACTTTAACATTTTATTCCATCATTTTGCAGTTTTATTCAGTTAATGCTCTGCTTTTCTGTTCTAGTGAGAATTCAGTATGATTTTTTTTAAAAAAATTAAACAACAAAACACAAAATATAAATATATAAAAATGCTAAAATTAATACTAAATTCAGTTAACAATTAAAAAAAACAAGATAAATCTTTATAGATTTCAAAATGCTTGAGAGAATGGGGACCAAACACAACTCCTAAAGGAAAGCTTTCCTTACCATAGGACAGGGGTAGGCAACCTTGGCTCTTATATGACTCGTGGACTTCAAGTCCCAGAATTCCTGAGGCAGTCCACAAGTCATAAAAGAGCCAAGGTTGCCTACCCCTGCCATAGGAGAATAGAGATTCCCTATTTTCCCTCATGCCAGAAATGAATTTTAAGAGCCAGACTGGTTTATAATGGGAAAGGTAGTTTCTTAGATAGTCTGACCATTTAGGGTTTTAAAGGTACTTGGCAAGTGAGCTGCCATATAAATTAAATGAATAAGTAAATCAGACTTAGTAAAAAGTTTATTTTTTTATTCATTTGGAATGTATTTTCTTTTCATTTGGAATACTTATTAAAAGATCATCCCAACAGATGGGCATATCCCTCGAGGATGTGGCATTGCCAAATGACTGCATCATTTGTTAGGAGAGCTTCCTATTTCAGATAACACTTGTATAATATCCTACTTAATAATTTGCTACAAAGGCCTTGAATGTGTCACACCTACACTTTACTCCCTCTGGTGATACATTCATAAAGGTGACTACGTTGCTGTTTTTGAACCACTAAGGGATAGTAGTTCTACATGCTGGAATATCCTGTTTTATAATTGATCTGATGAGAATTAGACTACAGATTTCACTAATTATAATAGCCACATTATAATCTTAACAGTTGTACTAATTATAATATCACCACATTTTATTCATTTCTGAAATTTGCTTAATTAAATAATAATAAAGCAGTCATGATGTTGATGATGTTATCCATTCAGTCATGTCTGACTTTTGGCGATTCTATGGTCCACATCTTCCTATGTTGCGCTATTTCTTTGAGTTGTTTTATGCTCTGGTTGGTGTCAGCTTTGATGGTATCCAGCCACCGTATTCTTTGATGGTTTAGTTTCCTCTTACTGCTAACTCTTCCAAAATGATTGCTGTCTCCAGTGAATTCCCCCATATGACATGGTCAAAGTAAGTGAGACGCAGTTTATGATTTTGCCTTCCACTGACATGTCTGGTGTTATACTTGTACTTGTTAGTCACCTTTACTGTCCAAGGAATACGCGAGAGCCTTCTCCAGCACGACAACTTAAATGAATCGATTTCTTCCTGTCTTGTATTGTTAAGGTTCAAAAGCAGTCATATATTTAGAGAATTATGCTTTTTGATATTACCTGAATTTGTATTAAGTTTCAATCCTATGTGAGAATGCATGAAGATGTCATTGTTGCTGATAACTGGAAGAAAAAATGAGCCATGTAAAGTCTTTTGAAACAGAACCAGTAGAAAGCTACTTTATACACATCACAGGGGTATCTGTTCTGAAGGATAGCAGTTTTCTAGGAGTTCAGACAGAGGATTTTTAATCACTTGCCATGTACCACATAGAACTGTCTTCATACAGAGGATACGCTTTACTGAGCAATGGGCTCAGCCTAAATCATTCTGGTTTTAGAAATCTAGTGTTCTGAAACAAATAGATTGTTTCCATTCAACATGTTCAAGAGTCCACCTGGGGATTTTACTGTCACCAAAATATACCTACTCATTTTTGCCGTTTTATTAAAAACATATTTTAAAAAATTATAATGACACATGATAGCGTAGTCTGGACATATCTGTCTTATAGATTCTTCTATATTTATTTTTTATTATGTACTCATACCAACTATTATAGAATGATTGGTTGTTGACAGGTTGGTCTAGATTATTGCACACTTCATACAAACTAAAACATTTAAAGAATAAAAAGATAAATAGGAAGTGCAGAAAAGAAGGGAAAAATAGAAGGAATAGAAATGAAAGAAAAAATAGGACTATAGAAAAAAAAGAAATACATTAAGAATGACTTTCCCCTTCATCACAAGTATAAATAATTTTAGCCACTTACTACTTTCTCTTAAAATAGAACAAATAATATCTTCTTCCCATATTCCATCTCTTATCTATTAACAAATCTTTAAAGCCTTGTTATTCAATCCTAGTCAGCAGAAACCCATTAAAAGTTACCATAGATAACAACACATCAATTTTAATCTTGATCAAATAAACTAATTTATATTCTTTCCTTTAACAGTCTTGATCTTTAATCCTTTCAAATATTGACCTAGAACTTGATTCCTTTTCATTTTTTCTTTGTCCCTTCTCACAAAATCTTCCAACACTTTCAACAAGTCTGTTTTGTAAATCCAATATAAGAATGTTATTCAAGTCATTCTTTTAGTTTGTTATTTGTATAGCTCTATTCTTATAGCCTGTCATTTTAAATCTACTTACAAATCAGCCTCAATTTTCTCTGGTAAAACTTGTTCCTCTTGCATAATAGCTTTTCCAATGACAGACATTTTTAAAATTAGCTTCTAACTCCGTTGTTTTCAAACATTCAATGTTAAAGTACTCTGCTAATTCTGTATTTATAAGTTTTCTTATTTCTGTATTTATAAGATTTAAGTTTTCTTCTCCTTTCATTGTAATCTCTAATGCCTTCTTGCTTCCTGTAGCATCCAATCTTTAAAGTCCTATTTTATCATTTATTTTTAAGAATTTGAAAGAACAGCCTCTTCCCACAAGAAGGATTCTTATAATTAATTTCAAAATCTTATTTCAAAACTATCTGGACCATTTGCAATCACCCTATTGCTGTTTATTCAAAAAAATATTTTTAAGTCCTTCAACTTGTATTTAAAATGATTAAAAAATGATGACCGTGTAAGCTTCATTATGGCTGTGAACTTGTTTGAAACCCTTCAACTTCCATCCATTCAACTCACAAGTCAACTAAAAAAAACCTCCATTTCTTCAGCCTACTCACAAGAATCGGTTATCTCGCAATCTTTCTTTTTGTTGGAGACTTCACCAACAAATTTGTCATCTGGCCACCAATCTCCACCCCAACTCCCACTTCTTCAAGGACATCTAGTTCTCCATGAATCCTCACTGGAAATCCTGGAATGTTTAGATATAATAAAGTGGCTCCTCTGAACACATCAAGCCAAGAGGCAGCAGCTAAGCAGGGATTGACCTGATTTTGTTAGCAATCGTGGTTCATCACCCAAAACAGTTATTTAGACTGGTGTTGTGTCAGAGTCAGACCTCTTGTTCTATTCTTGTCCATGGCTACTAAAAATGAAAGCATCCACATTTGTCATTGATCTAGATTTATATTCATTGGATGAAATGCAGTTATATCATGGAAAGAAATTGGATTGTTCTAAAATTTAGATCAAGAAATAATAATATTACTGTATATTTCTCCTTCACTTTGGATGCTATTATTTGGAGAAATGTGAGCAAGGTCTAGCTTCCTGCCTCCACAAGATAATTTTGAATCCAGATTTGTAATTTGAAACCTAAATTGCTTCTGAGTACATTGAGTACATCACAGTGTAAAAGAAAATTTATGTTCAGCTCTGTTGCTTAAGAACTCTTTAAGTGTTAGAAACATGGTTCAAATGGAGCAAGAGATCTCTGATACATGTAATGCTGTGATATTTTTTGGCAAAACTTAAGAACCTGTTGACTTGTGAAAAAGAACAGAGTGGATGTTGTTCTTCAGGGAAAGTGTGTTGCATTCTTCCTCTTTTAATCTTTTGGTTCTCAATTATACAAAAATCTACAATGCCTCTAATAGGACTTTGCTGTTGAGATTTTAATCCTTATTGTCATTAAAAGTAGGTGGCAGTTGGCATTATCCTTTTTATAAGCTTCTTTATTTTTCGTCAAATAGATCTTGGAAACATCTCTCTACTCTCTAGTGCCTGGCAATGATCAGGTAAATGCCAGATCATTCGGGTTTCATTCCTGATCAAACAGGCTAATGCAGATTTACTGAAAGAGTAACTCTGTGGAATGATTAGGCCTGAAAGAAAATAAGAATTTTGTTAGTCCTTTGTTAATACTTCAGCTCTTAATTGGCTCTGTATTCATTTTGGAAATATAATTTATCTCTATTAAACTAACCAGAGATAAATTCCTAGTACTTTAAAAACATTTCAAACATTTTTTAAGATCATAAATGGCAATACAAATGCATTTTTTCATATGGAACTATGTTAAGGTGACCAACCGTCCTCCTTTAGGGAGGACAGTCCTCCTTTTGTAAGTTCTGTCCTCCCTCGAAAAGTGTCCTCTTACATGTCCTCCTTTTCGAGATTTGAAGACTAATCTGCAGGGCTTTTTTTTCCCTCATAGAACGCTCAGAACAGGATTACGGCACCTTTTTTGATGTTTTTTTTCAACTTTTGCATGAGCTGTGCTACTCCTGCTATTGGCATTTGAAAGCCAATAGGAATTGCTGCTGAGCGGGCCAAAACACACAGCTGGCAAACTTTACACATGCAAGTTGTCTGTATTATTGCTGCAGTGAATAAAATGTTTCTTTTATTTATGATATTTTTTTCTTCAATTTATTTGTGTCCTCCTTTTCATTATAAAAAAATTGGTCACCTTAACTATGTGGTTCAAAACCATAAGTGCCTAAATTCTGATGTTTGGATCAGGCATGGAAGGAGGAAGCCTTGACATCTGTGATGGTATTTATTGAGACTGTGGTATGAATGTCCATTTTAGCCCAAAGAGTTTGAAAATACTACATTTACCACAGTGAAAAAGTTTTATGTCATTAAAGTATTATTTCTCTTCAAAGAAATATTTTTTACAGTTCTCATTGTAAGATGTGCTTGCAGTATACAGTACCCAGCATATATTTACCAATCTGTCTTGCTTTGTTTGTAAATGATACAATAACATTTTATCAAGTGAGCTGCCGAATTCCTGCTTGAGGATTAAAGTAACAGCCACTTCATGGCTTTGTCCAAGTGACATTAAAAGCAACAATGGTCATCAATACATGGTATTATATAGCTACAGCCAGTGCAGGTAATTCATTTTTCTTAGAAAAAACTTAGATTTTTTTTTAAAGTCCTAACCAAGAACCAATATGTTATCTTACTGTGGTTTAAGACTGTAATGAAACTATTCATTGATTTGCTGACTAGTGGATTGCTTGCTTGTTTCATTTTCTCATTCATTCAGCACACTAACAATGTTCTGTGAATAAAGAATAAAGTATAAAATTCCTTGTTTCCCTGTGATTTTGACTGGCTCTCTGGAATAGCCTCTTGCTGGAGATTCATTCAGCTCCGATGTTATCTGCCTTCCAGAAACAGCTGAAAACTGAGTTTTTTCATAGGCCATTTTGATGTTGTTGTCAGATACAGTTTATGAATTATATGCAGTTATCTTTTTTTATTGGCGCTACTGTCTTTTTGTTAGCTTCTGAGAGTTTTTATGATTTGCGGCAGGAAGAAATGTATGAAATATATAAAGAAAAAGATGTAAAGAAATAAGAATTCAACTACAAGTTGAAGTTCTTCAACCAATCGTCTTGTTGTCAGAGTGTGAGTTGAAACCTGAAGGAATTAAGTATGTCTCTGGAAAAGCTGGGCTCCCACGGAAAAGCTCAAGCAGAGAATGTTGTGCAGGTTGTTTTGTGCAGGCCATCCCATATGGGCAAGGCATAAGAACACAAACAATAACCTACAAATAGGCTACATCAGCATCTCTGTAAATGCTGGTTTCCAAATCTTTTTGCTGACATAATGGATATGCATGGGGCGTTTTTATGTAGGAATATCTAGGCTGGAGAGGAGCTGTGTCATCTCTGTGCCTAGTCATTTCCCCCTTCCATACTGCCAGCCCCTAGTCAGGTTCATCTTCACACTGACTGAAGAAAATGTATTGTATTTTGAAAATATTCAAAGCAGCCTGAGAAGCAGAGCTGATCATAGTGACTAAATGTCATTGAAGCAAGGGTGAACACCTAAAGGGAAATCCCAGTATTTCCTTTTTGTATATATATATATATATATATATATATATATATATATATATATATATATATATATATATATATATATATGCTGTCTCTATATACTTTAGAGAGTTGATGTTAAAATTCTTGGTATGTGTACTGTCTGCATTTTTTTTACCCTGGTTTATATTCGTTTATTTTCAGATCACATTAACAACAATTGGTTATGGAGATAAAACGCCTCTTACTTGGCTAGGAAGGCTGCTTTCTGCAGGGTTTGCACTGCTTGGCATTTCTTTCTTTGCATTGCCTGCTGTGAGTATATTTACAACTGTGTTTTAAATTTGAAGAACATTGTACTCTGTGCTGGATATGTGAGAAAGAATGTTAGTCACTTATATCAATGCGTTTGTAAACCCATGTTAACTTTTGCCATTACATACAACACTTTTTAAATTTTAAGGTGCTTTATGAGCTTACTTATCTCCAATAATAAATGTATGGGACATCCAAAGTTTTATTTGGTAACATTGCATCCAAAACAATGTTTGCATGGAAGTTGCTAAGATATGGTTAAGTCCATTTCTACTATGGATAAATGTCAAGGATTCAGCCCTTCCTGGTTTCTCATCTGTCCGTAAGGTTATTGAGAGAAGAACAGGATCTGTGTAGGCCTCTAGAGAACCAACTTCCTACATCAATACAGAGAAGTCATCAAAGAAAAGAAGATCTGCTTTACCCAAACATATCTTTTATAATGTTGTTAGAATCTCAGTAAGTTCTAGTAATTAATATAATAAGCCCATGCTAGAGTATTTTTAAATTGTAATTACCTGTTAAAGTTTTTTTACATATAAATTAAATGTTGGAATATTTTCCATTTCCGAGACAAGATTTTTTTGTTAAGAAATATAATTACCCTTATAAAAAATCAGAAATCATTATCAGAAATCATCTATAAGAAATGCTTATCTGGTAGAAGGCTAAGAAACATATTGTTCTGTACTCAGGAATTATTTTTTGGTCAGATTATGAATATTTTTAATTTACTTCATTTGGGTTAGTAATGAGAAAGTGCAGAAATACTATTAAATATTAGTTAGTAAACAAAAGCATTTTCCAATAAAATATATAACAGCAGACAAACAAGCAGTAAGCAATACCCTAATCAAGGAACTACCAACTCAGAAAAATAATCAAGCAGTAAATAGCCTAATCAAGGAACTAGAAGGACAAAATCACATCCCCACCCACAATGACAGGACAAGTTAGTGTATATCAACAGGGGACAAACTTCACTCCCTTGTAACACTGAATATTTTACTTAGTCAGGTAATGAAACTTCTGCAAGCAAAAACCAAGCTTGGAGAGAATCAAGGACTCCACTGAAGCATTTGCCTAGGAGTAGATGCTGTTTCTGATTCAGCTGCTAACTAATGCTCTTCAAGAAAATTTATTGCTTGGCTGCTGAAATTCCAGTGACTTTTCATACCTAAAAGTTAAGCTTCTCCATAAACAGATATTGACACCTTCTTGAAAGTTTTAGCAATTTCAAATAGCAGTAGATGGAGTAAACTGTGCCATAAATGTAACCGCATACATATACTCTAGAGATTTCCAGTGATCTGGATTTGAAGAGCAAAATCTGATTCAAAGCACACATGGGTACACTTAAGATGCCAGAGGAGAATACTTTAAGACACATGTGTTTTTTTCAGTGGAGGGCTGTGTTACGGTGTTCCTAATAGAAGCTTCGTGCACATTCATCGGCAACTAAATTATAGTGAGTCCTTCAAATCGAGGTCTCTGCACAGCTAAGCATGTATCTTTGATATTTTCCATTAGTAATAATCGGCTTCTAAACATATGCAAATAATATTCCACAGTATACTAAACATTTTCATTTTACTTGCATGTGGGATACTGCACTTTTATTAAATTGATCTAAACATAAAGAACTTCTCTAGTTCAGATACCAAATTAACATAATTTCATTTAAGGTTAATGATAAATATACTAGTGCTTTTCTTTAGCTTTACTATGCAATGATAAAACTACATAACTGGTAGAATTAATAAAATAACTAACTGTTTTGTACATAGCAAAACAGATTCAGGCTTCTATTAAGCAGAATTTTGTTTTACTGCGGAATAGAAACCCGTGCCCTGTTGGGTCATCATTTCAGAAATATTTCCTTACCTAAACAAAATAACAGAATGATCGCATATGGGCAAAAAAGCATTAGGAACAGGAGCGACTTCTAATTTCCTACCAGCTTTCCCATTGGGTTTCTTTATGGGAAGCTGACAGAAAACATCAGAAACCTCCCTCCCTCCCTCCCTCCCTCCCTCCCTCCCTCCCTCCCTAGAATTTCTGAAGGCTTCCCCACTTATTTTGCGTGTGATAAACTTGCAGAGAGAAAATCAGTGGGGAAACCAGCAGGAAGTTCCAGGTCCAAACCCAGCAGGCAGGTAAATGGCTGCTGCTGGGTGGGAAAGGGAATGAGCGAGTGCATTAGGGTGTAGGTCAGGAATTGTACGTGGGGATGTACGAGAGATGATGCACAGGTCGGAAAGGATGCAGGTGTGTGTGCAAGAGATGCCATATGTTGGGTACAGTGTGCAGGAGGCAGCATTGATCAAGGATATGTGAAGGTCGTGGGGTTATGTGAAGGGTGCTGCATAGCTCAAGGAGAATACATTGGGTTTGCGCATAGGGAAGGGTGCCTATGTGTGCTTGGGAGTATGTGAGAAATGCCATACAAGTCAGGGACATTCTGTGAGGGGCCAGCTTGGGTTGTGGAAAATGCATAGGGTTGCACAAGAGGTACCTGCAGTTCAAGGAAGATGTGCAGTCAGGAAAGGTGTATTAGGGTTCCTTCTTCCCAGTGCCTCCTTCTCTTCCATTCCTTCCCTCCATTCCTTCCCTCCCTCCCTCCCTCCCTTCCCTTTCCAGCAGGCAGTTCACTGCCTGCTGGGTGGCGGAGAGAGCAAGGAATTGCAAGACCAGATGGGATACTATCATCGAACTATGAAAATGAATATCACATGACTGCAGCAGCATCCAGTAGCATTGAAGCAGCCATAAGTTTCTAAATTTCATTTTCTTGGGACTCATGGCTCTCAGATTTTGGACACATTCTGAAATTTGAGATATCTTGTTCAACAATTGTCCTATGATGCATTTTTTCACTCAGTTAAAGGTCATGACAACAAGTTATTATATACAAATAACTCAAGGTGGTGAATATATCCAGCGCTTTCCTCCTCTTATTTTCCCCGCAACAACAACTTGTGGGGTGGTCCAGGCTGGGCTGAGAGAGAGTGACTGGACCACGGTCACCCAGCCAGCTTTCTTGGCTAAGTTGGGACTTGAATTCATGGTCTTTCTAGTCTGATTCTTTAACCACTAGACCATGGGTGTCAAACTCAATCGTGTCACATGATGTATCGTGACGTATCACAACGTTTTTTGCCTTTGCAGAGCTGGAATGGGCATGGTGATGCATCCAGCCCTCAGGCCACCAGTTTGACACCCCTGCACTAGACCAAAGTGGCTCTCTCATGCTCTATCATTCCCTTTACATTAGAAAAGTAGTTGCTGCAGTATGAAAACTTGAATTGACAACATTCTATGTAGTTGCATACTTAAAGAAGAGTCACTAGAAAAGTGGACTACGATGGCCAATTGTTCTATCAGAATCAAATTGCTGGTAATGCAATTTAAGCAAAGGCTTCCATTAGTGGAACATGAAGAGAAGTGATCTAATATTCTTCCTAAACTATTTACAAAATTTCCCCACTATTTGGGGGAGAGGATTGGGGATGTAGAAAACGAGAGGAGCAATGAGGTGACAATGAAATTCCCTAATCAAGAAAGATTAAATAAAAAGACTAAGTTTGCCTGTTAGTTCCCCCAAAGCTGGTTTTCTCAATTCTTTCCTAGTAAAATACTTAGAAAATAACAGCATTGGAAATAAACTTACACCGAGAGAAAACTGACTGGAAAAATGTGGTTACACTAACAGTAATAACAACAATAAAGGTAAGGGCAAAGGGAGAATTCAGAACTTTCCATGTTACCCACTCTTACAGTTATTTAAATTATGCCTGTTTCCTGGTTTGTAGGAATTTGACAGAATCCTGTCCCATATGATTATTAGATGCACCTGATGTTCTCCACATTGGTCCAATAATGTCATTTCAAATATTGAACCAAACCATGCTATGACATACAGATCATTTGTATAATTCTTATTTGTTTTTGAGATTGTATGTTTTTAATTGTTACTAGAAATATTTTTCTGATTATAAACATTTGTTGTATTGCACTTAAGGGTATTCTAGGGTCAGGATTTGCATTAAAAGTACAGGAACAGCATCGTCAGAAACATTTTGAAAAGAGAAGAAATCCTGCTGCCAGTTTAATTCAAGTAAGTAGCAAATGAATCCGATTTTCAAAAATTCTCGATAATGAATATTACAAGCTCAATTGTGCCAGGCTTCAAAGAAATATATATATTTAGGAATGATCATTCCTGTTCATTCTTCATTCCAATTCAGTTGAGGAAGTAAAAAAACAAGTTTCTACATCCATAATCCCAGTTGAAAAGGGAATCGTGTACAAATATGTAATCAAACAGCTGGGCTATTTCACATATAAACTAAGTTCATGTATCATATCAAATGCATTTGCTAAACCATGATTTACCAAACCCATTTGCTAAACCATTTAATATATTTTAAACAATCCACAAACATCTCAAACTAGATATCTACTTTGAATGGTTTATTGGATGACTCGCAACTAGGTAAGCAATAAATTGTGATTTACAAACCTCAAGCAGTTAAGTTTATAGAACAGGGGTCTTCAAAGTTGGCCCTTTTATGATTAGTGGACTTTGCTGGCTGAGGAATTCTGGGAGTTGAAGTCCATAAGTCATAAAAGGGGCAAGTTTGAAGATTCCTGTTATAGAACATGCTAATCCATAAATTATGGCTTACAAATTACATCAGCTGGGTTCACACAATATACTAAACCAAGTGGCCCTTAATCAAACTCTGGTACTTCCCTTTAAAATCATCAGAGTTTCTATTTTCATCCATTGTTTGTTTGGAGTTTGGATTTCATTTTGTATTTTTAGCAAGTAACCTTTTCAAAAGAATGGAGATTCAGTAACTAGAATTACAATAAATATAGTATAATATTTGATAACTAATGATAGTTTAATGTATGATACCCTACATTTGTATATAGTCAATTAATTCATAAATAGTGGAACCCTGACAATATGCCAGGGAAAATATATTTAGTTTGAATGAAGAAACCTTTGTCCAAAGAATTTATTGCATAGCTTGCATGATTGCATATAATGGATTTTTTTGCTTAAGATGTTGAATACATTAGAGTAATATTGTCATGTACAAGGAATCAAAATGCATTTAAATGTCTGAATAGTTGACGTTTTAATTGTCCTGTTATTAGTACAATTATTTTGTTTTGAATGACTTCTTTCACTTTCTTCATACCCAGCATCTTACAGTTAAAATGATTACACTCCTTTGAAGGGAGTTAGTTTATGTAATGTATGAGATATAGGGGCACAGAATTATTCTCACATTCTTTGGTTCCTGACATTGTTCTTCCTGTAAGCCTCATTACCATTTGGAAGCTGAACCAAATCTCTTCTAAGGGATTTTGGCTTCCAAATTATGCTGGATTATGGCTATGAAACAGAAATGCCAAATGTCTCTGCGGAAAGATGATTCAGTCTTTCGCTGGACTGTTGTTTATGCTTCTCTTAGAGGTAATAGCTAAGCAGCCAGTGACTTCCTACTCACAAACAGAGTGCTACACAAACAGAATGCTATTGAAAAGGAAAAATGCTTGTTAGAATTTTTATTACACTATGAACTAGTTCTAGGCTATCCCAGTGTATGGTTGTAGGCTATGCTGCATGCTGTACATTATAAAGATTATAAAGAATAACAGCATGAAAAAATATATAGTATTACCCAAGTGTTAGCAGTTAGGTTAAAATACACTTTGGTATTCCCAGATCTCTGTTCATATTGAAGGGAAAAAGAGGATATGGCCTCTCTGTCTATCTGTACCACCAGCTAGTAACTTATATAGTTGCTAGATGGCACAGTAGTTAAAAGTGCCTACTCTTAGTCTAGTGATTAAGCATCCCTTAGATGGTATATATTGCTTGAATGTGAGAAGGCCAGACCAAGCAGGGAATGAAAGCCCCCAATTCATTTGACCCAGAGCTAGCTGTGAGTGTAAATATATCTTAAGATTCATGCCAGATGAACTGAAAGAGGAGGTTGTGACACACATTCTCCCTTCTTTACAGCAGCCTTCCCTATCTTGGGTCTCTTGAGTTATTTGGATTAGAATTCCTTTCATCCTCAGCCAACCTGGCAAATGGTCAGAGATGAAGAGAACTGAGTGCAAACCATCCGCATGGATTCAAGTTTGGGAAGGCTGTTCAGTAAGGATCTCTATCCCAAAGCCCACTGTAAAAATCCTTCCACTTGCATGCGTCCACTCAAACATATATTCAATGGAGTTCAGTAGGATTTATTCCCAGATAAATGAACACGGGACTGCAGAGTTGCTGACTGTACAGAAGACTATTGCTTGAGTCTTACTTTTCTCTTATAACTATGTTAGACCTTCATGATGAAAGCAGTTTATATTTTTGCACTGGATGTAAATAGCTTCCTCGATCATACAATTGAAACGATCTGAAAAGTTGAGAATAATAAATCTTTATTTTAGAAGTATTAATAGGAAATTTATAGTATCGGATCATTTTGTGCACTTATATTCCAAGGATATAGCATTGCATAATGGTTAAAAGCATTAACAGACAAGTTCCTTGTGAAAATATATCCTGTTAGCCATGTATGTTAGGATAATGTATCTAAAACTATAATCCTTTTGTACTATCATCATTTAAAATAAATTTATGACTTTATTAATTATACTGATTGACATATTGCAACTGTCTTATTTTCAAATATTCAATGCCCAGTTATCAACTTCTGACTTAGCCTAATGTTCTGTGAGGAAGCAGGAACTATTCTAGGCCCCATTTGCTGGTATTTGTGAAAGCTGTGAAGGTCTTTTTTAATTGGGTATTTGATGGATGGCATGATTTTTGTTGAAGGGTTACCTCAGTACACTAAATTCTGGCCTGAAGTGATTGATCTCTACATTTCTAATCTTGTAATTGCAAACAACTTACAGTCCATATAAGCAGTATCTAAATAATCTACTAAATCTAATCTAATAAAATAAGTAACTAAGGTGTCTGTGGAGCTTCTCAATTACGCAGGTCATGATTGCTTCAAAGGTGCTTTTTCAAAAGGCAAATAGACTGTGGTTTTTTGTTTTTTTTTCCCTTGAGGAAGAAGACATTTTGCTTCTCATCCAAGAAGCTTCATCAGAACTAATGAAGCTTCCTGGATGAGAAGTGAAACATTTTCTTCTTCCTCAAGGAAAAAGAAAAAAAACCGTAGTCCAATTGCCTTTTGAGAAAAGGCACATTTGAGACAAGTAACCAAGATAGAAAATCACCACAAAATATCATGGACATTTGACAAGTGGACATAAAAGTATATAAGATAAAAACATTTGAAAGGATTCCTTAAAAAGGAAACTTTGTGTGCTAATAATGTCCCTAATTTCTCTTTCATTGTTACTCATTTTATGCAGACGAGAATACAGCTTATTACTAGAATATACTATTGCTAATGTGAAGAAAAAAAGTCAATTGCACTCATGAAAAAAAATTATAGCAAAAGGCTTTCTTGAAGATTTTGCTATACAAGATTGCTAACATATATAACTAGAACTTCCTTATTTATTGTTTTGTTCTATATTTAAATCCTTAAACCTCAGATCTTCATTACATTGTACAAGCACAGCCCTTCCAAATTGATTAAGCCAATTGTATCCAGTTTGAACAAAATCCAAATTTTCCATCCTATTAATAGTGCTTCATTTCACATATTGTTAGATCTGTTGTACTTTCTATTGTTTCCTCAAATCAGGCTACTTGGCGGTTTTATTCTACCGATTCAAGGCGAACAAACCTGACAGCTACCTGGCGATATTATGAATATAGTCTTCCATCCCTCAGGCATGTATCAGTGCTATGAATGCTACAAAAAACAATACTTGTATTGATTTACTAATATGCTTCTCCATTTTTGTTTGCCTTTTTCTTTTATCATATATCTGCACGTAGTGTGTATGGCGTAGTTATGCAGCTGATGAGAAATCGGTTTCCATTGCTACCTGGAAGCCTCATTTGAAGGCCTTACATACCTGCAGCCCTACAAAGTAGGTAAAAATATGGCAGCTGGTGTTGTACTTGATATCTGGTTTTGAGATTATACAAATCGATCTATTGTTTTTGTCTTGTCTTTCTACTTTCCCTTTTCCCCATTCATTTCCTTTTATTTTCTTTCACTGAGGAACTCAGGTAGCAAACTGGGACACAGACACATCATCCAAATAAGATAAATCTAATTTCTATTTTATTTTGCTTCTTAATAAATATTATAATTAAAGTAACAGAATTTTGCAGTCCTCAAAGCCTTGCTGAAACCTAAGCTTTTAACAGCATCTGGGCATGTATTGGACTTAGGTTAATTCATCTCACTTCACAGAGTTAGGGATATAGGCATTTTTGGATGTATACTATTTTTTATTTATTATTTATTGTTTTATCATAGAGAATAAAATACAAAACAATAAAACAAACAAAATGAAACAAAACAAAAGCATACATTCAACCCTAACAACAACAAAAAAGAAAAAAATAGTGTACAAAAAAAGAGGAAAAAGTGGTCAATTAAATTTAACATTTAACATCTAGGATCCACCCTGAGTGGGTGCTGAAAAAAAAGAAAAAGCAGTAAATTCTCCTCCCCTTTTACATATAGATATATAAGTATATATATTACATACACACACACACACACAAGTGCTGGTTTTCCAGCACTTATTAGAAATACCTTCATACATTTTTGCTAGTCTATCTGGGATCAAGTACCAACAATACATCATTTTATAAAAGTTTTTATTTCAAACTATAATTTAATGTGTCCATTTTTCCATTTATCTAGTATTATATTATAGCCAATTTGTTTTGCCCATTTTAACTTTATAACTTTCATTGTCATTTTTTTCCTGTGGGAACAATGGCACACATTAAAAATGAAATTTAGTTGCTTCCTCTCAAAGTGTACACATGCATAACACATTTAAAACATACTATATGCAACATATGTATATGTATATACAACATATGTCTACATAAACTCTTTAATATCTTCTAGGTTCATCTTAAGTAACATTTTATATACTTTAGAAATCAAGTGGTCATCGCCAGAACATAAATTAACATCTAATTCAGATTTAGTTCCTGTGAAAACAAAACTTTTTAAATCAAATTTAAATCTTTCAAAAATTCTTTAATAATTAAACCAATCACAAGCAAATTCTTCACTTACTAGTTGTTCTCTTGTCTTTATCTTAAATCCCTCTTCTTCAAACATCAATAAGTCTCGATATGTCATCCATTTACATTCTGAAATCATCTCTGTTCTATGTAGCACATCATGAGGTGATTGCCAAAGTGACACTTTATCTGCTAATTTTCTTTTATACTTCCACCATACACGTGCAATCGATTGCCTAATTGCATGAAAATTAAAACCAGGGTTAACTTTTACTTTGTCATACTACACATAGGCATGCTACCCAAATCTCAAATCAAAGCCTTCGAGGTCTAACAGCCTTGAATTTTTTAAAGTTGTCCGATCTTTTAACCATACCAGACAATAAGCATCGTAATATAATCTAACGTCCAGCAAAGCCAGACCTCCTCTGTCTTTAGAATCTTGTAATAAATTGTATTTAATTCTTGTTTTTTTTTATTTTGCCAAATAAATTTAAATATATCTTTCTGCTACTGTTTGAAAGTAGAATCTCTAATCAATATCAGTATAGTCTGAAATAAAAATAACATTCTATGTAGTATTCATTTTAATTACTGAAATTCTTCCCATTAATGACAAATCTAATTTTTGCCATCTATTTAAATACAATTTTATCTCCTTCCATATTTTACTGTAATTATTTTTGTAAAGCTTAGAATTTTCCTCAGTGAGAGTCACCCCCCAAGTACTGTACCTTTTTCATGACTTTAAAACCAATTTTAAATTCCAATTTCTCCTGATCTTCCTCCTTTATGTTCTTAGTCAGTATTGTCATCTTTGATTTATTTATTCTTAAACCTGCCATTTCTCCAAACATTTTAATCTTCCTCATAACATGTTCAATGTTCTCTAGCGGGTCTTGCACAATCAATATCAAATTGTCGGCAAATGCACGTAATTTGTAATTATGCGCTTTAATTTGTAGTCCTTTTGCTCTGTTATCCTATTTAATAATCTCTATTTAACAGTTCCAACACTAGAATAAATAATAAAAGGAATAAAGCCCCTGTCTTGTTCCCTTCTGGATTTCACATGGTTTTGTAAAATCTCCATTCACCATAGTTCCAGCTTTCTGGATGGAGTGTATAGATGGACTTCAGACGCTGTATAAAGCCCAATCCAAAGTCCATCTTTTCCACTGCTTTAAACATAAAGGCCCAATTCAAGTTGTCAAAAGCTTTTTCTGCATCCAGAAAGACTAATACAACCTGTTTGTTGCTACATTGTTCTAAATATTTAATTCTATTCAAAATTACTCTTACATTATCTTTTAGTTGTCTTTTAGGTAAGAAACCACACCGGTCTTCATGTACGTATATAATCCAGTAAAACTTAAAAAGTCTATCAGCTAAAATAGATGTAAAGAGTTTGTACTCATTATTAAGAAGAGAAATTGCCCTGTAGTTAAATCCAGTCCATCTTTGGGTATTGAAGAAATGCAGGCATCCTTCCAAGAGTCTGGTATAGGGTTCCCCTATAAAGTAGAATTCATTAAGTCCTTCATTGGAAGAAGTAGTTGATCTTCAAAAAATTTATAGAATTTGCTTGGTAGGTCATCTGGTCTTGGAGCTTTGCCTGTTTTAGGTCTTTTAATTGCTTCTATTATTTGAAAAGTTGTTATTGGACTATTCAAAATTTCCTTGTAGTTTTCCGATAGTTTAGGAAGATGTTTAGTTGTTATATATTCCTCCAGATTTCTTGTTCTTTATATAAATTAGTATAATAATTCCAAAAAAATGTCTTTGAATGTTTTTGTTATCCATATTCCCCACTTGAAGCTTGGTTATCATCTTCTTTTCTGTCTGTTTTCTTAGTTTGAATGCCAAACATCTCCCTGATTTATTTACATGTTCAAAAAAGTGTTGTTTTGTATATTTAAATTTATTTTCAATATCTGATACAGTCAACAAGGAAATTTGTTGTTGCAATAATTTTAGTTGATTAAGTATGTTAGGATCTTCTGGTGAATTCTGGAGTTCCCTCTCCTTCAGTTTAATTTCTTGTAGCACATTTTGGATTTCTTTGTCCTTCTTCCTCTTAATTGCTATATTGTATTGTATAAAATGTCCTCATATCACATCCTTACAAGCACCCCAAACTGTTGTCAAATTTGTTCTTTTATTTAAATTATTATTAAAATATCTTGAAGTACTTGAAGTACCTTTACGTTCTTTAACAATCTGTGGTCTCTGCAAAACAGACTCGTTTAATTTCTATTTAAAAGACTGAGAACTAAATTTAAGATGTAAAGACACTGGATTATGATCAGAAAAGTTTTTGGAAGAATAATAGCTTTAGTTGCTTTGTGAAGCAGATTTTTTATAATCCAAATAAAATCAATTCTAGAAAAGGATTTGTGTCTTTCTGAAAAGAAGATAAAATCTTGTTAGTCCATGTTTACACCTCCAAACATCAATCAAATCTAAAGTATTGCTCAGCTTGGAAAAAAGTTTGGGGCAGTTTCCCTTGTGTTTCTTTAATTCCTTTATCAGCTGATCTGTTCAGTTGTGCAATTACTACCCCATTGTAGTCTCCAATTATACATCAATACTGAAAAGAATAGGAGAATAAGTGTTCAGACAGATGTTTTAAAAACTTGGCTTTTTCTTGATGTGCGATGTATAATCCCACCCACAATAAATTTTATTCCCTGTAATTCAATTTGCACAATTACATACCTGCCTTGATCATCATCAAACAATAAATGTGGGTGTAATTGGGGATTTATATACAAAACTACCCCATTAATTTTTTTTCTTGGAGTTAGTAGAAATAAATTCCAGACCCAAAATGTTATTTGTTAAATGCTTTTTATCAGTCTCTTTAATATGAATTTCTTAAAAACGTACCATATCATGGTTTTCAAATAATGAAAGAACTTTTTTCTTTTTTGTGGGGAATTTGCCCCATTAACATTCCATGACAAAATTTTGCAATCCATCTGTTATGAAGAGGAAATTCCAGGGATTCCAGCTGAGACTCCTATCTCCACAGCCTGTCTTTGATAAGCATCAAATCTCTTTTTACCCTTTTCTTTCTGATCTTTATCTTTTGAAAAGTAGTGTAGTTCCAATCCATGTTTTTCCAAAAAATCTTGTGCTTTAAGGACTGAATTTAGTCTATACAATTGATTTCCAAAGGTAAAGATAACCCTTTCCAGCTTATCCCAGTGAAAAGGAATATTATTTTGTTTCAGGAGATTTGTCAGGAAAAAATATTCTTTGCCTTTCCTTAATATTGTAATTGGAATTTCTCTGAATATTTGCACCTCTTTTCCAGAAAAGTTCAATCTCTGGTGGTAATGTTTCTGAATTCCTTGCTCTGTAATAGATTTTCTTATAATTGGATCATAACATCTCTTGGCAGTTATCTTCTGGCCACATATGCTGAATTAATTCAGTAAATCTTGTATTTTTTTAGAGAAATCTACTTCCTCATCATCAAACCATTTAATCATTTCCGTTTCAATTACATCACTTAAGTTGTGAATTTGTTCAGGAATTACTCTAAGGCGCAGAAAAACTTTGTTCTGTTTCAAATCCAATAACAGTAAATTTTGGTTAAGATCTAACCTTGTGTCTGCCTCATCCATTCTAATCTGTATATTTTTAACATCTTCTTTAGTTTGTTTTAACTCTGATACTAATAATTCAATTTTTTAATCAGATTTTTCATTCATCTCTTTTATCGTGTCGTGTAACATAGAAAACCTTTTCTCAAATATTTCCATAAGGAGTTTGGTGGTGGGCTCTTCCGTTTTAATTCCTTCTTAGGAGGCATTTTTGCAAATATCCTCTCTCCTTATAACCAGCAGAAAAGCCGGCAAGAATACACCCTTCTTTTTTCAAGAAATAATGTTGATATACAAACTCACAGAGTAGAGAAAAAAAGAGATTTCTAAGCTTTTAATGTAGAAAGCTGAGAATTGTATGCAAAGTGCAGAAGAAATAGAGTAAAGATATGAAGTCTTTTCAAATTGATAATATATACAGTCGATTTTCAATAGAAGTTCAATATAGTTAGATCATTTTCTTAGTAATCTAAAAAAACTTGTTGCCATTTGTCTTTTCTATATGGAATGATTAATTACTTCAAGATATTCCTCCGGGGTTATTAAATCGGTTAGAGTCCACGAGGAGGGAAAGCAACTAAATTCCAGCACACAGCCAGCAGTTAACATGCAAAAAGTAAAAAGAAAAAAACATTGCAAAGTGTGAAATTAAAACAGAGGTGTCTTTGAAGACAATGGCTGGGAGGGACATGATGATAATCCTCTTCTTTGGCAAACTTTCCAGGGAGAAGAAATTTGCTGAATATTCAAACCCCCCCCCCAAGCCAAGGAATGCCATCCAAGAAGCTTCAGGGCGATTCTGTGCCACTCCTTTTCTAATCCAGGAGTGAAGTAGCTACAGAGACCTGTTCTGTAGCTATCAAACCAGCCATTTGTCTAGCTAGCAGAACAAAGATATGTGCTGCTAGTCCAGAGCACCATACTGGGTGGAGACCCTGGATGTATACTATTTATACTGATTTCCATTGCTTGCTTATACTAATCCTGCTTATAAATGGAACAAGAAACAGGTTTTCTCATTTTGCATCTTGAATTTTCCACTGTGCAGATCAATGCTCCTCAGTTGAGGTCAAAGTACCATATTAATCTACCTTTAACACCTTTGGTTCATAGCATTAGACCAACAAAAAAAATGTTGGTACAAGCAGTTGATTAGTTCAACACAAAACTCTGCTGCTACTCCCACCTTGCAGTACAATATTTTCTTTTTTAAAAAAGAAGCTTAAATATCACCTTGTTATCTGTACTGTCCTTTAGAGTCACATATTTCCTCTTTCTGTGAGAAACATGTAGGAAGGTGCTAGTGATGAAACTCATAATGAGTGTTTTCCAGTTTCAACCATTAGTTAATCATACTCATATGATTCTTGGGAAATAATCATTTTCAGTAAAAGAGAAATGTGTGATTTTGCATTGCCATGATGAATTGGAGTCCAGATCTTTACTATTTCTTCAGATACTGTTTTTAGTTAGGTAATAAGACAAGGTGAACTTCCCACTACATCTTGTGGTAGAGTGTGATCAATAAATAGATATCCGTTTCCTTTTTTTTTTTTTCAAAAAATTTGCTTCCTAAAAAACTTTGGGTGATTATGATAGAGCCCTTGAAACTGAACACAAGTATAATTTCCGAATGACTGTATCATGTAGGAATCCCGAGTTAAGGAATTAACTTTTAATGACTATAATGTATTTAATCACATAATGTTTCCAACATGCTGCAAGAATTCAACAGATTTTCAGGAAAGAAGTCCAAGTGTGAATGCAAAAAACGAATCTTTGGTGACATTTTGCACTTCATGGTCTTGTATACTGTACAGAATTTGACAAGCAACTGAATGTAGTTTTGTGCTCTGTAGTTGCCAAGAAAATTCTCAGCAACATCCTCAAATGGAGTGCTTTCCAGGCAATTTTTTCTGGCCCTACTAGATCTTCACAGTGCTTGTCATTGATGATGCATCTGATCTGTGGACCAACAAAACTGCATTCCTTATTCTTGGCATCAATTATTGTTGAAAACATCTATCTTAAATAATGAAAACCTTCACTTTCCTTGTTCATTGATTTCATAAAATTTTTCATCAGTCCAGATTTTGTGTAAAACAGAGGAAAAGTATCTTTTGTCTGGTTAACAAGTGGTTCGTGTGTCACATTTTTCTGTCCTGGAACAAAATTCTTTCGGAGGGGCCATTTCTTTTTAATGTAATGTGACTCCATTTAATGACAGTTCCATTCACAACAGCACTTGGTATATCTGAGCTTCATTCCAAGCAGCAGAGCCACTACTCTTAGATCTTCACAGATATTCCAGTTGTACTTGTTGGTATACTGGATGTGCTTCAACACAGTTCCATGTTTTTGTATGTTTCTTTCATGTGTGCAGCATGGCCATTGTATAAAAAGATTTACATAAAACAGTACATAAAAGGTTAAATTACAGCTTATTTCTGTGATTAGTAGCCAAAAATCTATAAGATCACACCCAAAAGTGTTCAGGAAGCAAAATCTTTGTCGTCCAGTGTATTGTTCTTAGCTAGGCAACAAGTTATTGTGATCTTCCCACTACATCTTGTGATCAATAAGAATGTAATCAACAAATATGTGTTAGTTTCCTATTTTTACAGAAAGGTTACTTTAAATATAATAATAATGCATGTTTCTCGCAATAATGGTAACAAAAGTGTTTGAAAGAGGTACATATATAGCTGTACCAGTGGTGGGATTCAGCCAGTTTGCACCACTTCAGCAGAACCGATAGCTAATTTTTTGTTGCCCAGGCCCAGAACGGACTTCCGGAAGCGGCATCCACACAGAGAATCGGTGGTTCACATATTTGAATCCCACCACTGAGCTGTGCCAATAGTAGAGGTCTTTTATCCTAAAAACCTAGCCCAGTATTTTGTATATTTAGTACTTTCTGTAACAGAAAGAGCAGGTGGGTTAGCTTTGGGAATAATTTTCCATAGCATAGCAATTTTGTTAAGTGTCAACTACTCATACTAAGCTGTAAAGGTATAATATGGCTATATCAATTTTCAGCTCTTATAAATAAACAATGAAGCCACAGGTCTACATATTACAAGATAGTTATGGCCAAAAAGAAATGCAATCGGTCCTTTTGTAAGATATCCCTAGTCTCAGTGATTAAGTTAATCATATTCTGTCACTGCAGATAGCTACAGTTCTCTGTTATTTGTATATGAGCACTGCATTTTGCCTAATAAATGCTTTGTCAACTCTCTCTCTAAACATATGTAATAAGCATGTTGAGCATGCATTAACATAGCATTTTATTTTTTTAATGTCACTATCAAATACAAATCCATGCTTGGATGTTTGTGCTTGCTTTTTTAATATTTGTTTCTAGTTTTTAAGCATTTGTTTAATTAACAAATCCAACTGCAACTTAATAATTATTTAATAATATTTGTAACCACATCATGATGGGTACTGCCAGCATAACTAATTTTTTTCCTCCCCAAAACCCTCTCTCTTCTATTATCTGACTCATGAAGGAAAGAACAAGGGGAAGCATCAAGCAGGTTTGTAGTGTTTTTATGCATATAGTTTAACAACTTAAATGTTATTTTGGAAATTTTATACCACTTTGAGAATGTAAATATATTATTATACTGGAAAATAATTAAAGGCTGTGCTTGAATCCAATTAGGAGAAATGGGAAAAAACTTTTCCTAGGTAGATCATTCTTCTGAAACAGACAAAATGTCACTCAAAGTAAAAGCCAGAAAGTTCTTCTGTTAAGAAGCATGAAAATGACAGTTTTCTGTAGAATGTAGTCATAACTTGTTAGATAATTAAGGTTTAAGTAATTTTCCATATCTGTTGAGATAGAGAGGATTTTAAACTACTGAGAATACTTTGTCTGAATTGAACAAACATTTCTGCTCTACTTTTGTAAACAACTTTGAAAATAGAGTCAAGGTGGATATGCTTAAGTAATATTTTGATTCATTAAAAATACTACGGGCTACATTCAGAGAAAGAATCTGCCCATAGCAATCTGCCTTTGCAAACAGTGGGTTTAACGTTAGTCATCTCTATCATATATTCTACTGGTGTAGTTGATCTATTGGAAGAATGACTAAAAATCAATATACTATAGGGATTATAACATTGAATCAGGATGAGGATACTCACATTTAAATCCCAGTTCATTTAGAAAGCATGCAGGATTATTTTGAAAAAGTCACTAACTCTCAGTTTAACTCACAGATAAGCTGTGTTGAGGATAAACATTTGGAAGAGGAAGTAATATACATACCTGCTTAAGTTCCTAGAAGTAAATAAATACTAAGTCTGAATTAAACTATCTAAAGCTAAAAGATGAACATGTATACATGGGGGGCAAGATACATATGGTAGCTACATAGCTTTTTATCCTTATTTTGATGTACCTTTGAATCATTTACCAGTCTCTTCTACATATACACTTCTGTCATTATTTAAAGAAATTGAATATTTTGCCTGCCCTACTAGTCAAAACAAATATTTGAAATTAGCCATCTTGCAATCATGTGGGAAAGGCTGCTCTCAGCAGATGAAAATGTTGCTGTTCTCCTCAGTTGCATAAGATAATGCAGTCATCAAGTTCAACCAAATAACCAAGATCTGACAGATCCCTTTATCATACAGCAGCTAAACTATAAGAAGAATTCTGATTTGATTCAGTTTTCATATATAACTGACTACCTGAGGATTGAGCAATCTAATGCTCGCCGCATGATTAGTTATATTTTCCATCAAATCATAACATTAATCATGCTGGCTGGAACAAATAAGAGTTACAAAACATTTAGAGGGTACTCAGTTGCATTCACTTGCATTTAGTCCATCTTTCTCCAATCAAATATCTCTCAAGTTTTGATTTGCTGCTGATGGGAACTATAAGTCAAAATATCCTAGGGGTTTGGTGGCAGCAGCAACAGATAATAAAAATCTCATTTAGACCAGCATATTATTTCCAGCATGATTGGATAACTATCCCTGGAAGATTACTATATAAACAGACTATAAATTTGATAACCATCCTCTTTGTTATGTTGCCTTCTGATAAATACATTTTTAAATGCAATTAATGGTCAGAAATAAAAGTTATTTCTATGAATTGGCCTTGTTCTTTTAAAAGTAGGTGACATGTAAGTCACTCTCCCATTGGACTTCAAATATGTATATAGGGTGATAGAAGCACTTAGCTAGATTGATTGACCATTTCTACACAGTCCCTATCTTTCTTGGCCTCCAGAGATTTCTCTCCTAAAATCTATAGTTAAATAGGCATTCTAGGTATTCGTTAATCTTTTTCTCTTTTTGTACCTCCTCACATCAATTATTCTTTTTTTCCTAAAATATAGGAAGTCCTTGACCTACAACCATTTGTTCAGCGACCGTTTGAAGTTGCAACAACGCTGAGCGAATAGCGGTTACAACCAATTCTTATAATTCCAGCCATCCAAGCACCCCTACAATCACATGAGCGTGATCTAAGTTTTTTGGCAATTTATACACATTTACAACCAGTTGACATGCATCCCACAATCATGTGATTGCTCTGCTAGTTTCCCCAGACAGACAGTGGGAAAGCCAGCAGTGAAAGTCACATATTCAAACTCACAAACCCTCCTGCTGCTTCTCTGTGCTCGTGCCCTCTCTTACCACTTGCAAACCCCCAGGCACACTTCCCAACCTTTACTGCACCTCCCTCACACACCCCAACCCACTCGACATCTTTTGTGTACCCTCCCTGTCATACTATGCCTTCTTGACCCTCCTTAGCACCCTGTGTATTCCTTTGCTCCCTCCCCCACCCAGCAGCAGTCATTTATCTGCCTGCAGTCCTTACTTGCAACTTCCTGCCAGCTGCTCCATTAATTTGCTGGTAGGAAGGTGTCTCGCCTAATGACTGTGGGATTCAGGTAACGATGACTGGGATTGCCATTGCTGAGTAATATGGTCATGCTTTGTGACTGCATCGCTTAAAGGCAGATATTCCGGTCCCAACTGTCATTGTAAGTCAAAATCTACTTGCAAGATTGGGCATCTAAATCTAAAGTTAGCTAGAATGTCTCATAGCAGTATTAAATATATTAGATCAAAGACAGTGCTGGTTGTACATGATTGGTTAATTGTTCCAATATTGTCAATAAAAAAATGTGCATTGATTCCCAGGAAATTTAATAGCCTATGTGTAAGAAAACTATTGCCAATTCTTAACAAATACAGTGCCTTTCAAAACTGAATTTACTAACAAGATTTTCATTAATCGTTCATATTAGCATTTATAATCTTTCAAATATTTAAACTTTTTATTTCCTTTTTTTTCCAGTTGGCAGCAACTTTATAAACTGAATTTTCTTCAAATCTGTGGCACACAAACATACTCACATATTCATTAAATAAACCAGTTTCAATCAAATAAATTGCCTTTTTTATTTTAGGTGTAGGTCAACATTGATCACAACCTGATCACAATTCAGGTTTAACATTTTGTTTAATGGGTATTCCCTCTTTGTTGTGTTCATGTTTCATGTAGTTAATCTCATATGCAGACATATTGTTATTTTCTCATTTAATGCACAACAGCCTTAAGCAGGATGATATGAATTAACTATTCCCTGCCACTAGCAGCCTTATGGTGAATATAAATAACATAACAGGAATTTTAACAGTCATCTTCCAAGACTAAAAGTCTTCGCCCACTAGAGTATTACAGTGGCATTGTCTATTAGCATTTCAAATGTATTCTGTTGGTATCAATATATAAATTAAACATTTTAAAAGGATAATAACTAAAGAGCCGTATGATAAGCCACATTAACAAAGCAACTAGCACATGAATAACTGTATTTTCAAAAGATAAATGTAATCTTTCAATAAGCTACCAATATTAATATTACCGGCTTATCTAAAATCTTAAATTTTTATGTACGATTTTTAGGGTTTTCTCCCGTTTTACTGCATGTTACATATTTATGACTATGACTATAAATAGCATTTCCTTTTCTAACAAAATAGTGCTTATTCGTAAACATCCCATCTATTTTGAGGATGTATTATTATACATATAGTAAAATACTAATAAGTTAATTTAAGCACATTAAAATGTCTATATAGTCTGAATAAAATTCATTTCCTTTGTAGGATTTATGTTGAAAGCATAAATAGGTTATATGTTCACAGGTCAATGGAGAAATGAATGTTGCTCTGTTAGGAAAGTTGGTTTCTATGCTAAACAAGTATTTATAAAAGTCCCGCATTACAGTAGTCATACATTCAGGGAATATAAATATTTATTGGCTTTTGAAGGTAATTTTTTAATTTTATTATAACTTGTTTAATATAAACTGTAAACTTAATAATTTTATGAATGTTTTGTTGGTTGAGTGAAAATAAAAGCAAGACTGGTCTGACTCACATGGATAAACCTAACTCTTTTCATCACCTGGTATGCATAGTAATATGATCCTCTATTTCCCCTCACTCCTAGTAAGCTTTATAGTAATAAACAGAAGCTCTTCAGGATGTACACCTCTCGGAAACATAGGTATCCAGCATCCTGTCTACTCACATGATAATGGGAATGCCAACTAACATCAGGTGCATGAAGACTTTATTTCTCTTCTTGGTGCTTTTTTGCTCCTTGAAGAATTATTTCATAATTTGGGCTGGGTTTCCCCTATCCTCTGCTGCCACAGCTGCTTATAGAGTTACTTGTTGCTTGCTGCCTGCAATTTTGTACCAAAATGTTTTTTAAAAAACTTTGCCTTTTATAAATTTCTATGATAGAAAAAAAATATAATCCAAACAATTAGATCAGGGCTTTTCAACCAGTGGTACGGGTACCACCTGTGGTACAGTGGCACCTGGCAGGTGGTACGCAACCATCCTAGAAAAGTGATAGCGGGGGAGGGGAATGAGCTGAACTGTTGGTAGACTGCACAAGCCTGAACGAGAGATGGCTGGAGCTGTAGGGCTGTCAGGCCTCAGCGGAAGCGCCAGGGTCCAGCTGGAGCTCGGCGCTGATCTTGGTGCTTCTGCTGAGCCCAGAAGAAGCGCCGATCAGCTGAAATGTTGCAGCATCTCCAGGGTCTTGTGATTTACATTCAGATGCTTGGCAACTGATTCATATTTATGACAGTCACAGTGTCCGAGGATCATGTGAAGTGACCAAAACCTGCTGCAACCACCCAACAGACGGGGAATAAAAACCGAATACCACCCCACCCCACCCCTGCTGCCAATCCTCAACAGAAATGTTCACAACAATGAAAACCTTGGACAGGAGGAAGAGGGCAGGCGGGCAGGCAGGTGTCTTGCTCAGCTGTGGCTTGGGGGGCACTATTTTCAGTGCCATTGTAACTTTGAACAGTCATTAAGTGAACTATTGTAAGTCGAGGATTACTTGTACTTTATCACTTTTTTCCTTTGGGGGGGGTCATCAAGTTTTTGACACCTTGCTAGGCGACTGGTGGTACTCAGATGTTGCCATATCCTAAAAGTGGTACAATGGTAAAAAGGTTGAAAAGCCCTGAATTAGATAACTGCATTGACTGTGCGCCTTGGTTTAAGAATAATTGTTATGTGGACCTATATTTTTTCTGGGTAAAGAAAGCAACATTGAGTTTCAGTGTTGTGTTTTTTTAAATGTTTTCATAAAATACCACTCTGAAATAATTAAGGTAACATTACACAGCTTTGTCCTACCTTGTCTGGGCTGTGGGAAGCCTATGTACAGACGGGTTTTTAAAAGAGTGACTTAGCCCAACTGGAATCAGTCGGTCTCATTTACCAAAAATAATACATTAAGTTTATGAATTCATTAAAGAAAAACACTCTTGGTCCCTACCAACAAACAGTTACAATATTTTTACCCTGATATGTTAACATGCAAATCAAACTACTCTTGACATTCTTTAAAAATAGAATAAAATCTTAATAAATTATACAAACAGTTGAAACTACCAGCAGGCAGTGGTTCCAAATATTTAGTCAAGACCCCTTCTTCAGTAGCCTTGCAATAGTATCACAGTGACCTCTAGTGTACTAAGGGTGCACACAGAAAAGTGTGAATTCCAAAAGTAATGATTACAATTGCGTTTTCCAGCTGAATGCTTCTCAACATTCATTGAGGCTGTACTCCAAGAATTTTTCTGCTCAATCTCAGCACTCACTCTGAATTCTTAGAGTTGTCATTTTAACAAAGTGGAGAATACAAGATTGGGAAAACCTGGCCTATAACAAGATTTTTAAAAGGAATACCGATAAAAATAGTTTTAGAACAGGAAAATAATTTTTGAGTTGTTACATTCTAATAAATTAAACCTAATTTAGAGAAAATCTGCTAGATTTAGTTTTTCAGAAGTTTACAGTAATCTTAAATCTGAGTTTATGTTCAACCAATAAATTCAAATGAATTCTAATTTGTTATTTGACAAGCAATCTATGGTCATGTTCCTAGTTTAGGTATGCTTTTCTGCCAAAGAACAAGTACTATTTAACTGTAAAGAGCTGATCATTCAAAACAAACCAGTAACTTTTATTTCTGTGATGTAAAAAGTGCAACTATTAATAACTATCAAGGTTCTTTTGTCTTTGTTTCTTATAATCTTGGTGCAAATAAAAAATAATATGCCCCTTGTTGCACTTAAATCTAAAATGGTTGAATGGTTTTTCCCAGATGGAAAATTTTTTTTAAAATGGTTCTTTAATTTAGCCACGTGTGATTCTCAAACTGTGTGGAAAGGAGATTGGAGAATAGATTTAGATTGTCTGTTGGCTGATGAATCTACATGCTTATTCATGTCACCAACAAAGAAAAGCCTTTTATTTATTCATTTGTCAAATTTATATCTATCTCACACAAAGTGACTCTGGGTGGCATACAATAAAACCTACTACTATTAAAACCAACTCAAAACCAATTCAAAACAGTTAAACAGTAATAATAAATCAAAGCAAAAACACAAGTGGGGAAATATCACTCATAATACAACAAATACATGGATTCCCTAACACCAAGAGTTCCCCAGACCAGTACAAAAAAAACCCCATGTTTTAAGGGTTTTCCGGAAGTGATTAAGTGTGGAACTAATCTCACCTCAAGAGGGATGATGTTCCAGAGGGCGGGTGCTATGGTTGAAAAGGTTGACCTCCTAGGTACCATCAGATGGGACTCTTTCATAGACGAGTCCACAAATATCCCTCTCCTGCCAGACCTGATTGGATGAGTAGATGTAATTCGGAAGAGGCGATCCCTCAGAAAACTTGGACCCATGCCATCTAGTGCCTTAAAGCTCAAAAACAGCACCTAGAATTTGAGCAACCAATACAGCTCACAAAGGAGAGATGTAACATCTACCCTCTTAGGGGCACATGTAACTGCGTTTTGCACGAGTTGAAGCTTCCAGATATTGTTCAAGGCAGCTCTGTCTAGAATGCATTACAATAATCCATACAAAGTATTTTCTGACCAGGGTATGAACACCTGTGAGCAGAGTCTCACAATCCAAGAACAAGCGCAACTGGCGTACAAGCAGGAGTTGTGAGCCCAGAAAGACTCCCTGTTTGCAAGTCCAATCTGTCTAGGGCAGTACCACCTGCTTCAGTACCAAACGTGGTAAAGTCTCAGATCCAGAAGGCCCTAAAATCCAGTCAGGATGAAGACATACATTTTTGCCGATAATGTCTAAACACTTAAAATTGGGGAAATGTAAGAGGGAAATGGTCTTCAACAAATGTAGTCCTAATAAAAATGATTTCAAGTAGACAAGAATCCATGATTCATCCAGGTAGGAGTTCAGGATACAATGAATTATAATTCTAGGCAAAGCTTCAGGAAATCAAAATAACGAACCAGAGAGTCCTTGCCTGGAGAGGAAACCATCATCCTAAACTCACTTAATAGCTGGAAGGCCTGCCCAGATTGACAAAAGGCACGCTTAAGAGTCAGCAGAATTCAGTAGCAAAGCAAAGACCAGAGAATTGGGAATGTTAAAATGGTGGAACATCCAAGGCAATAAAGAAATGAGCAATGTACACTAGTTTGCCTGCCTGCTTTCTCTCCCCCCCCCCCCAATCCCCAGATTTCATGCTACAACAGACTGCCCTATCTGCAATGGGTTATTTTTGGAATATCTGCATAAGAAATTAGGGATTTGTTCATCATATTGAGCCCATACAAAAATAAGGGAAATTAACTACCTTATGGATTCTCAATTTCCACCATTGTACACAAATTCTGTGCTAACATAAAAGACCAGTTCCAGGAAAAAATAGTTTGGGAAATTAAATAAGTGCCAAAGACAATTATTAGAAGAGCAAGAATTTAGTCCATTACTATACAACCTTAATATAAACAGTGACGGAAACAAATGAGATTGCAAAGAATGGATTGGAACACTTGCCATCTCTTAAAGTCATCCTAGGTATTACAGTAGAACATGGACATTAGAAAATATAGAAGTACAATAATGGTATAACAAAACGGAGGAACTGGTTTTGACTTCCTATATTCTGAGAAAAGTTCAGATAAGGAAACAAAGAGAAGAGCCGTTTTCACACCAAGTTGTAAAAGCTATCTAATGCTTAGGAAGAGAAAGCAGTCTACTCTTGAAACTGGCTCACAGATCTGGATGTAGGATCTCAGTGTAGTGTCTCCACTCCTGGTCACTGGGAGGTTCTGCAAGTATAATTTATTTTTTTAAAAAAACAGGAAAGAGCAAAGAATATTGCTGTTTCTCAATCATATATAAAAGTTTGGATGGGTAATTAATTTATCTTGAATTAATTTTAATAAATATGGCAGCAAATAAAGATGGATATTATTACTGTTAATCACCATCTTATTTTTAAATAAAACAGTTTTAGTCCAAAAAAACAAACCATACAATATTTTAAATATTATGTCTAAAAGCTGTATTATGTAGTATTTAATCCATAAAGTGCAACATGATAGGTTTTATAATTCCAAAGAGCCAACCTGATTATTAATCCTAGAATTCCAGAGTGCTAGTTTTTGCTGACCTATGCAGTGAATGCAGTTCAAAATATAGCACTCAAAATAGTATGCATTAGCTTCATAGTGACTTTGTTGTTCAGAAATATATAACTGATTTTTCTTAGCAATTTTGATACTCAATAGATGTAAATGTAAAGCAAACAGGATCTGAAACTAGTTCCCACCAACACTCTCATTCCATATGATTCCTTAAGCACAGCCAGTGGCTTTCCTGTGGTTAAGTATTTCATCTGAACCCACAGTGACTGACATTTCCAGTTAACACCAACTTGAATTTGAAACCATTGTTTGTGATTGTCAAATTCTGGCTAATGCTAACCAGAAACGTTCTGTAAATATGGAGTGGCCGCTATGCCCACTAGAGTAATTTAACATGGCATGTGAATTTCTTGGGGAGAAAAGCCTTAGGATTTGCCTTGTAATGAATACAGTACATTAATTCTGAAAAGTAACATAGGAGTATCCTTGATAAATATCTATGCAATAATAATCACATTGCAAGTAACAGAAATTAAGGTTGAAGCTCTTTCTCATGATTTTTTTTTTACCCTGGTTGAAAAGGGTAAAACAATTCTGAAAAAGGTACTCTCTTGAATGCCACAATGAAAAATACACATTTTTCTAATTGTTTTACTGCAGTTTTTAAAGTATAATTTTAGAAATTGTTTGGCATGTGCTTGATTCCCTGCATTTGGTCCCCTGCCTATTCTGCTTGTATTTGTAATAAAACATATTAAATTGCATGTACACATTTTTATTGTCTACAAATTTCATAATCACTGTCTCATAATTTCATTTCCCATAATTCCACAGAGAAACATTTCCTTTTTAGATTGTACCTGTTAAAGCAGGAAGACACTGAGAATGTATTTTTAAAGGCTTTTGGGGGCGGTAGAATCCATTTCCATTTCCTCTGTTTTTATTGTCATGTTGCATGAAGATGCAAGAACCATGATTAAATAGAACAGACAAGGCCTGAACTCGATTATCAGCTATAGCAACAGGCCGATAGTCTTTTCCATCTGTACCTTAATGGCCTAAATAATTGGCTTTTTCAGAGACAGTCTGTACTCATCCCAGGAACAAATACAATTGAGAGAGATTTCAGGTTCTCTTCCGCTTGTTCCTTAAAAGGCATCTTTCTTGCCCCCCCCCCGTTTTCCTTTGAAATTACTGTATATTGCAGAGCTTAATATACAAATCCCAATATAATCCAGTCTAATTTGCAATCTCTATACAGGTAATCCTTAATAACCATAATTGGAAGTAAAATCTTGGATCACTAAGCAAAGCAGTAGTTAAGCAAGATGTCACATGATCGTCTTGCTCAATGAACACAATCTTGACACTCCTGGTTGTGATCTTTAAGCAATCTTAACAGGTCGTTAATAGGACAGAGTACAGGTAAGGAGCATGGGGTGTCTCAAGGGGGCAAGGGAGATCCTAGGAGGTCCTGTGCAGGCTGTACACAGGTCTCTCTCCACTCAGGAACTGAAAATTTTCCCTGTTGAAATCCAGGCATGCACACCCTGCAGCAGGTCTCCCCTACCCGAAGGCACCCCATGCTCCTTATTGTATCTTACTGTGCTGCCTCTCTGTTCAGGAGCTGAAAATCCTCCCTGCTGAAATCTAAGCAGGATTTTCAGCCCTTGAGCAGGAAGACACTCATGTGCAGCCTGCACTGGGCCTCCCGCCCCCCACAGGCACCCAATGACCTTACCTTACCATGCTGCCTCTCCATTCTGAGGCCGTAAATTCTCCCTGGCTGAAACCCTGCTTCAATTTTAGCCACAGGCCTTTTTCAGCCAGCCCTCAGAAATGAGAAAGAACCCTCTTGTCTGTGGCAGCTGGCTGCAAATACCCCATGATGCAAATGCTCCATGCCAAAATCCTGCTTGGATTTCGGCAGAGAGTTTTTTCAGTCAGCCCGTATAAACCAGAAGAAGTCTTCTTGCCAGGCAGCAGCAGTTTGCAACCTTCCCTGCTGTCTTCCTCATTGATTTTCTAGGGAAACTGGCATAGAAGATTGCAAATGGGATCACATGATCACAGGGTATAGGCAGCCATTTGTAGGTCCAAATGCTTTGCCAAGAATCCATATGGTAATCGTGTGATCACATGGGTATTACAATGACCATAACTTTGGGCACAAGTCATGAGTTCCTTTGTTCAGCACTGTCATAATTTTGAGAATTGTCCTCAAGTCATTGAGATAACATTGACTAAAAATTATCATTTAAGTCAAAAATGACATACTTTTAAGTAAACTGAGTATGCAGCCCTTCATTTTGGAGTGCCATGCACATCCACAGACCATCAGTCTACAATTTCAAACAAGAAGTGACAATTGTTCCAGGATAGCAGCTGCTGTGACAGAATCGTAGGGAAAAAAATCTTCAAAATGTTGCCCACCCCTATAAATAAATAAATGCTGGATTGTAGTAGTTAACTGAATACAGAGCTTAACTGAATACAATTTATATTGTGTTATTAACTCAGTCATGTCAAATACAAGGCCCAGGGACCAGATGCGGCCCGCAAAGTGGTTTCATGTGACCTGCGAAGCAATCCTGGAAACAGTGAGGGAATGGCCCCCGCTGCCTTGGCCCTGGCCCAGGCCAGCCAGGAGACAATGTACAATTTTGTGGTGGCCATCTATGCTGAAATGCATTCAATCTTAGCACCACAAGGCCGTCTGGAAACAGCGAGGAATCAGTCCCTGCCATATTGGCCCCGCCCCCTGGGTGCATGCTGGGGAGGTGTCACCCTTTGTGAGGAATGAAGAAATGGACCATGCCTTGGCACTTGCCCCAGTCCCACCCCCTTCTGCCAGAGACCCTCAGATCTGTCCCACTCCTGCCCAGGCCCCCACAGGCACTCTTGACGCGAATGATGTAGAGCTGGCCATGGCCACCTAGTAGGCCGCACCTACCCTGGCCACACCCATCTGGCCCCCCCAAGGGCAACCACAATGCTGATGTGGCCCTCAATGAATTTGACTTTGACACCCCTGTATTAACTATTAATACCTTTAGTACACCTAAAAAAATAAACAGATTTTACATACTGCACAATCTGTAACTCTTTTGTACAAATCAGATGGTATCTACAAACAAGCAATCTTGTTTGATAAATGGCAACTTTGATCAGATAAAAACTAATTTTCTAATCCACTTGTTTTATTTGGTTCTATAGCGTATTACTGGCAAATAAATAATCCCTTTCCCGGAATGTAATATTACATTTCTGTGAGCCAATCTTTCTGCTGATAACCTTACTGAATATTCTGTTACTTGTTTTAAATTTTATTAGATAAGTCAGTGGTGGCAAACCTATGGCACGGGTGCCAGAGGCGGCATTCAGAGCCCTCTCTGTGGGCACGCAAGCCGTCGTCCCATTCCTAGGCCTTCAGCTGAGTTTTATAAAACCTTTTTGCTTTAGGCCTCCACCGCCATGTGCAAAGAAATAAAAAGGTTCAATTAGTCAATTTCAACTTCTCACGGGGAAAAAAAAGATCTTGCAAAGTTGGAATTGATTGATTGAACTTTTTAGTCCCACCCAGTCTGCCATTACCACCACAGCCATGCCCACCCAATGGGCCACACCACCCGGCACCCGATGATGCATAAGTGGGTTTTGGGTTGCAGTTTGGGCACTCAGTCTCTAAAAGGTTCGCCATCACTGAGATAAGTAAATAACTCTGTGATCCATTGGGCCATTCTTGAGAAAAAGGTAATGTAGTCTTATGTGACTAGAATGAAGTCCAAATTTTTTTTAACTTCCATCCAGGGTCTTGTGATCATGTAAGAAGAATATATATCATAAATAAACAATTTTAGTGGAAAATGAACTTCAATAATAAGTCAATATTTATTTACATAAACTCAATGACCACAGTTGGACAAAAAAGCATTTGGATGGTAGCAACTTCCAACTTTCTCCTGGCTTCCCCACTGACTTTGGCAAGCTGGCAGGAAATCACAATCGTGACCATGGGGACATCGCAGCAACCAAAACTTTGTCAATAAAACTGTCATGGAAATTGCAAATCCACAAGAAAAATGGATCCCAGATTTTTTATGTATTCTTTAAGTTAGCAGATTTTAGGTACCTTGGTTCAAAAATTGTTATGGGATAATGCACCGTTTGAGCAAACATGAGGAAACAGACAAATCAATAAACATGATAGTTTTAGTAATTGATGGTATATATCTATGTACGCTTAGAGCTTTGGGTAATAAGAAATCTGAAATGTAGTGTTTGCTAATGTCTGTGGACTGTTGAAAAATGTCATGTTTGGAAGCATGCATGAATAATAAGTTTAATCTTGCTTGTCTAACTTTAACAAACTGCATGCGGAAATAATGGCACTTGAAAACTATTGATTCCATTGTAGAGCAGCTTACGTGCACAGCCTATGTTGTACAATTTAAAAACATAATTAGAGCTGCCCAAAATTTATACTCGCAACTTTGCTAAGTTTAAATTTGATAATTTTTTGTTAGTTGATTATGTTTTACTTATTGTACTATAGGATCTTTTTCTCAGTAGTAGGTATAACAGTATTACTACATTCCTCCAATGAAATATCCACACCTATCATATAAAGAAAGTGGTTCAATCTATAAGAAATATACTTTTATGGATCTCCGTCCATCCATCCAATTTATCTGACTGGCCATTTCACAGAAGGGTTCCCTAACATCAGTCAAGGCTCTAGTGTCAAGGCAGACAGTTAAGGATGGGAGCTACTATCAAGGGGAGGCAGTCACATATTTTCCTTTTCTTCCAATTCTTTATGATGTCTGGAATGTGTATTATTATTATTATTATTATTATTATTATCAGTATTAATATTACTGTGTATTTGGTCTTAATACTGCAGCTTGGGGAACTTTTCCAGGTATGGGGATTTCAGGGATTCCTGAAGTTTTCCTACTTACTTTTGTATCAAGAACTGATCGGTGCAAATATTCTCTTACCGGACGGGGGAGTGGGAAGGGACTTCAACACATGGAGTACATTCATACCTGCATCCAAAGACATGCAGCTGAACGTGTATCTTCATCTTAAGTAGCATGATACATATACCAAGGTGAGTGAAATAAAAATGCACATTTTGCTTCCACAGCCAGAAGCTGAGCTTTAAAGAACGGGTGCGGATGGCTAGCCCAAGAGGCCAAAGTATCAAGAACAGACAAGCTTCGGTTGGGGACAGAAGATCACCAAGTGCAGACATTACTGCAGAGGGCAGCCCAACAAAAGTGCAAAAGAGTTGGAGCTTCAATGACCGAACGCGCTTCCGGCCTTCACTGCGTTTGAAGAGTTCACAGCCTAAGCCAATTCCAGATAGTAAGACTTTTAAAATGCTAACTGTCTTGTTCATTACATTTATGTCCCTCTGTCAATTAAATCTCATCTCATAATGGTGAAGCCGCCAAACATTGGCCCTAGAATAGTAATGCTCCTTTTTGTAGATGAAAGGTACAAACCCCCAGCACGATACCAGGCAACCCACTTTTATGAAACATTTATTACAATAAGAAATTAATATGACACAAATTCGACTTGTTCTTCATCCCTTTATTACATTTTTAGACATTACACTGTAAACTGCAGGTCTACAAGTCCTTGACTTAACAATAGTTTATTTGATGACAGTTCGAAGTTACGACGGCCCTGCAAAAAGTGACCTATGACCATTTTTCACACTTACAACCGTTGCAGCATCCTCATAGTCACGTGATCAAAATTCAGACGCTCGGCAACCGACTCATATTTATGACAGTTGCAGTCAAGTGATCCCCTTTTGCAACCATCTGATAAGCAAAGTCAATGGGGAAGTCAGATTCACTTAACAACTGTGTTACTAAACTTAACAAGTGCAGTGATTCACATAACAAATGTGGCAAGAAAGATCATAGAATGGGGCAAAATTCATTTTAAAAATGTCTCATCAGAAACAGACATTTTGAGTTCAGTTATGATTGTAAGTTGGGGATAAGCTGTATGCCTTTCCACTACAATCTGTTTCCTTTCCAAAGTAATGCTTTCCAGAGCTAAGATCTAACCCCTCCGTATTCCTAGGTATATTTCCTGATTTTTTAAGTTGACCTTCATGCTATTTTCTTCTTCCTCACTTGCTTGTCGATTCCAGACCCAGGACTGCTGTTTTCTCTTATCCTGGTCTCACTTGCTAATGGTTAGCAAATTTCTACTTTTAGCAAACGGTCATCAGTTACAACTGTTACCTGGCCCTCTTGGTTTCCCTCTGGGTTTTCTGTTGCCCATAATAGTACTTATAAGTGGTCCTCAACATATGACCTTAATGGAGCCTGTTGTATGTCATGACAGTTGTAAAATAGGTCATGCACATGACTTGATTTTGCAACATTTTTTGCAACGGTCATTAAGCAAACGTAGAGTCTTAACGGCAAATCCATGGTTCACTACGGTTTTGCTGAAAAACAGAAGTGCTGACTTTTGGCAAAATCACTGTAAAAATGTAGCCACATGACTGGGAGATGTGCCAAACAGTCATATGGGGCCATGTACTGAGCTGCTGAAGTGAGTTCCCATAGCCATGGGGGGAGGGGGAGGGCAACCATTAGACTTTTGCAAGTGGGTCATAAGACCCCTTTTTTTAGGTAAGTTGTAACTTCAGAATGGCAGTTAAGAGCCATGGTGGTGCAGTGGTTAAAATGCAGTACTGCAGGCTAATTCTGCTGTCTGCCGACTGCCAGCAGTTTGGCACTTGATTCCCACTGGCTCAAGGTTGACTCAGCCCTCCATCCTTCTGAGGTGGGTAAAATGAGGACTCAGATTGTCGGGGGCCATATGCTGACTCTGTAAACTGCTTTGAGAGGGCTGTAAAGCACTGTGAAGCGGTTTATAAGTCTACGTGCTACGTATTGCTATTGCAATTCAGTCAAGGACTACCTGTACTGTCATCTCTTTTCTTTAACCTGATGCCATCTTCTCCCTGGCCTCTATAGTTCTGTGCAAGGCCCTCCCACAGCTCCTTTCCAACTGCCAATGCTGGCTCTCTTCTACCTTTCTGGGACTACCTCTTTCTTCAGCTGGTCTTGGATTCCCTATGGGCAGAAGAGAAGAAAACTGTCCACCTTCTCTTCCTGGCCCCCTTCTTCTCCAGATTCATGCTGCACTTTGCCACTGCATGCTTTACCATTGCTTTGTGGTTTTGATGCTAGTTGTTGTTATTCTTTCTGGCCTTGTCTTACACTTTTGGGGCTATTGCAGCTGGAGTAGTTCATCAGACCCTGTCCCATCTCTGCCATAAGCGCATGTACATGCACAAACCACTGCTGAGTTTATTTCACTTCATTTTGGTTTGCTTCTCTTCACTTCCAAAACAGTCCATTCTCAGGAGGTATCAGAGATCCCTTTTTAAAGGGTCTAGTCATCCTTACTAGGTGGGTGGGATCTTAAGAGACCAAAGATAAGAGGAAGGATATTCTTTCACACTCTTTCTGAAATTAATTGCTCTTACTAGGATCACAGAGTCCGCTATCTCCGCCTCTAATTTTTGCCTTCTCCCCACAAAACTGCTTTTTGCTCTACTCTCTGACGCCTTCTAACTATTAGCTAAGATATGTAGATAGTAATAATAATAATAATAATAATAGCTTAACTTCTAGTTTCATCCTCCTGCCTACGTGTAGCTTTAGTCCCCTGCTTCTCCTGAAAACTAGTTCACCAAAACCACGTGTCTGTTTTCAGTTTCCATTTTTTATTTACATCAGTGGTTCTCAACCTTTTTAATGCCGCGACCCCCAACTGATCATAAGTCGAGGACTACTCAACCAGTCGTAAGTCGAGGACTACTCAACTGGTGCAGCACCGTTCGCAGAATGGGACTTTTGGCGGGCTCAGCAGGGTCGAGACAGCCTGGACAATTCCTATTGGCTTTTGAAAGCCAATAGAATTAGACTCTATTCAAGAGAGTCTATTCTATTGGCTTTCAAAAGTCAATAGAATAAAAGGGAGTAGCACAGCTAAGGAAAAGGGGGAAAAAATGGCGGACTGTGTTGTTTGGCGACCCCAGTGAAATGGTCATTCGACCCCAAATGGGGTCCCGACCCACAGGTTGAGAACCACTGATTTACATCTTCTAGCAATCTCTTTCTCTCCCAGGTGTAATTTTCTTTTCCCATGTGATCTGCTTCCTTTAATATTTCCCAGCTAACTTATTCCTTTTGACTTGGCACAAAAGTTTTAATTCTTTAAGGGTGGGGCTGGGGAAAAAATTGCTGTGCGTGTCCAGGCATTCCCTACACAAACTCTTGGGAGTTAGATTTTAAACTGAACAGAAATGCCTTTATTTTTATCTTTGCTTGTTGCTGCAGGTATGTAGTCAATGAATTCTACCATGTTTGTATGTACTTGCACTTGAAGCCATTATAGATTCTCCTGTTTCCTTGCTCGGGCATCATTTTTCTAGGTTTAAAACACCCTTTTTGATTTGCATTGGCAAGAGACTCATGCTTACACTGCTGCCCGCCCAACATCAATGTACTTTCCTCCCAATTCTGAGATAATTTCTTCACTCCTGACAGAATGCAGAGATTTCTGAAATTCTTAGAGAATTATTATGCAGTTTTCTTTGAAGATCCTGTTTGCAATTAGGATTTCTACCCAAAGCACAGTAATTACTTGTATTCACTTGCCAACACACTTCACATAATTGTAGAATTGTACTGGACAACTGTTCTAAGACACTGAAATTTTCAGTGCATATAGCAGAAAGCCAACTTCCGCACAATCAGTTTGAAATCTAAGAAGACATAGAAGTGTACAGATTTATTTGGATTTACCTTCTAAATTCTTATACTTCATGATTGCTGTTACCAAAGTTGGCCTCAATTGAGTGTCTTTAAGAAAGTAAAGCCATAGAGGCAACTGTATAACCTATTTGAAGACCTAGCTAATAGCCTATGAATGGAACAGTTATTACTTGGTCATCAGTGTACATCAGGGGTCTTCAAACATGGCCCTTTTATGACTTGTGGACTTCAACTCCCAGAATTCCTCAGCCAAACACGCTGGCTGAAGAATTCTGGAAGTTGAAGTCCACAAGTCATAAAAGGGCCAAGTTTGAAGACCCCTGGTATACATCTTTAGATCAAGGTTTAAGAAAGGGTTTTGTTTCTTTAGTTCTAGGTTTTCTTAGGAGAAATTATGTTGGGGCCTCCAGTCCTATATCATAATCTATCATAGAAAGCTGCACTAGGTGAATTCTCACCTAGAAGCTTCCTCAGGGTTCAATCACATAAAGCCTCTGCATGTTGGAGATAGTTGTGATATTCCCAATGCACAGAAAGCAAAAACTCAGCCTCTTCTGTCATGTGATTATTTCAGATGTTATGAATAATCAGTTGGATGCTGCTTTGACATCTGTATGAAAAAATAAGCCGAAACATCTTTCCAATAAAAAGGAATTTAATTTAAAGTCAAATAACTTCTTCAGAATTATAGCTTATAACAAATATAAAAAGCTCACTTCAAAATCTTTTAAAAGATTTAAATATGATGAATCATTTGGAATTTTTTTATGCTTCGCAGTCTACTGTTGTAACAAATCATGAAGAGCTGATTATAAAAATAATCTGTAGAAGTCCATCATCTCAACCTTTTGTAATAATCAACTTCTTTCTAAATTGTTTTGAAAGGATTATAAATACATATCACTATCTCTGTTGGCATGGTCTTCTCATTCCTTATTCTAGCTGAATTTTTTTGAAGAAACTAGAATACTTAAATTACACTCTTTCATAATTATTTCTTTTGAGACTCTGTCATCCATTATTTTCCAGGACATATTTAAAAACATTGCACAAGAAATCAATTCAGTTGGTGTTGTTAGTTGGCCACATTTTCTATTAAAACATTGGAAAACTAAGATGTATCTTTCTTAGGCTCAAAGGTATTGAAAAGTGTGGGATATGGAACTGGCTAAAAAAATAAACACAGCATATAAAACTTCCAAATAAGTAATCTTCCCACCCACCCCATCCTGGTCCATAAGCAAAGCACTTTCACTTATCAGTTTTAACCCTATTAGAACAGATTATATTTGCAGCAATTTTGTCTTAAAAGTTGCAGTTTACAATAACTAAACTACACAATATTTGTCTTTAAATTCAAATATAAATACTGATTTACAGTGTAAACATACATATAAATGCAGGTCTAGGCAACAATTATATATCTGACCAGCTCAAAGTTGACTCAGCTGCAACTTCCCCACTCATATCTGTTATTTCTCCCCCTCCCCCCCCAGTCTAGGCTCCATTCAGTGCTCATCCTTTCTCCACAGGCTAGACAGTTAAGCA